AAGATTCAAAATCAAACAAATTTTATAGAATAGACGTGATGGCAAGGCTTTATAGAAAACCGGCGTGAAACAATACTCACGTCATGTTTCGTCAAGTGACTAAGATCACCCAATTTCCACAAGCGGCGCTGATCGCCAGATCGCTTACAATAGATATCTTAAATTGACACAGTATACTTTTTATATTTATCCATGACATACACTCCACAAACACACATGCACATACATACATGTACATACACACACACACACACACACACACTCATAAACAAACAAGCCAACAAACACCCACACACACACACACACACAGATGTGGAAAAGCCAAGCTTCGGCACGAATGCATCGGCTCGACCGGAGTGATGCCACGATCTCACATAAAACCGGCGTGAAACAACCACAGCGTTGTGTTTCGCGGGAATGAGGTTACCGGAGGATCAAATCCATGGACAGCGCTTATTCGTTCCGTCTGTGCGTTTGCCAACCTATACCATAAAAAAACGCAAACGATTTTTTTCCTCTATATAATTAACCTATAAAATAAACGTACATATTTACTTGAGTTGCGTAGAACCCACCCATTACATAACCCTGTCTAGCCAAAACCTAAATGAACTTCACATTTGAGTCCATTTTAGCGCTAGTCAATTAATTCGAGCTGAGCCTCTAGTACAATGCTTTCCAACAATGTTAATATCACACAAACAATAGTCTGCTTTGATTGTTTCGTTTTGAATGTAATTTTGTTAGACCCTGTCGCTGTCTGAAGTTACTGAAGTCTGTTTGACATCTGAAGAATAACATAAATATAGCTTTTTTCATCGTTGCCTTCAATTTTTTCGATCTTATTCTTTGATGTCGTGCTACGAGTATGATTTCTCGCACTCTGGGTGAATATACAGGTAAATATAGGGATTGTCCACCTCTTACTGACTTAAAACAACTACTATTTCTGATCTGAGCTGGAGCCGTGATCCAATATTGTGTGCTTACACCCGCAACTCCGGCTAGATATCAATGCCCGACGAAATAAAGGAAAATAAAATTTTTAAAATGCGAATTTCTTACCAAGAAGTTTTAACATAAAACTTTTCATATATATTTTGCACGGTGTTGCAATGAATATACAACATTGTAACCATGAATGTTACCCACGACACAGATAAAGATAGACACACATAAAGAGGTTTCTGCAGACCTGACTTACCGGACAAGAGTCTGACAGTACCCTTCGCCCTTCCCCGAGGGCGATGGGTCTCCATGAGGATTTTTCAACCCGACATCAAAACAAAAAAAAGGTTTCTGCAGACCTCCGACTGAAAAATTTGCTTAAAAACATGGTGATCTTAAACCAAGTAAAACTATTGTGGATACAATTAAAACCAATAAAAAAGCATCCCGATTTGAATTTGGTGAACAAACAAAATATTGACGACCTTGACCTAAAATCTGATGTTTGCAAACTGTTTGCATAACATTTCAAATTCACAAAGTTTTACTGACTTCGTTTATTGAGTTTGCTTACAAAAATTAACGAAACTAACGATGTTTTTGATCTATATTCTAGAATTTTATCGAATTTAAGATAATTATAGGTAGGTTTTAACACGATGCACGCACAAATCGACAAGTATAGTAGAAAAGGGGTCTGTCAGATGCAAGATAAATTCCTGCACTGTTGGCCCAGTCATTGGAGATGCCGCGGTCTCGATTCCTAGTCAGCAGCAGATTTTTGGTTTAAAAACTATCCTATGTCATCACAGGAGTTCCAAACTACATATCTCTGTTCCAAATATCACAGAAATCGGTTCAGTAGTTTAGGTGTGAAGAAAAGACAGACAGACAGAGTAACTTTAGCATTTAAAATACTAGTTTGTATTTATTCGACTTACAATATGAAACAAAGATGCAAATATGGTACATAATTGGGCATATGCAAACCTAAACTTGTTTATTTGGTAAACAGCGTCTATCTGAGTAATGAGCATTTCCAGACGGAATAAATCTTTGTTGTCTATGTGAAATTATGATGACATGATATAAAGAAAAATCCTGGTTACTTTTACGGTCCGTCAGTTTATAGAATTAGTTTCAAAAAGTTTTTTTTATTAACGAAAGTTGCCCCACACTAGGATTTTCTCCTGTGTCGTGGGTACATTGACAAACGTACAATTTCAAATTTCAATTTGTAGATCACACAAAGAGTTCGGATTCCGCGACACGTTGCGCGGCAACCAGATGTCAAGCCACCGCGCCAAGAAAAAATTGAAAAACTATTCTGTCCTTTAACCCAGTCGAACGACCGAAGCCGAAGGAAATAAAATTTTCTATATAGGTAATGACAAATAAGGGTCTCCAAACAAAATGGGATGACTGAAAATAATTGCGTGAATTGTGATTCGGATTCCGTTCCGAGCCGTGAACTGGCACAGTTTCACAGACCATTAAAATTTACAAGGACTGGTCCAACAGCTATTAGTACAACGGAAATGTTTATTGCTTATTAAAAATCTGAGAATTATAAAGAGCAAGAACCTTGCAAGAAAACCGTATTAATTTACGTTACCTAACAACACAATAAAGATTACTTTACGTTATTAAGGAAACAGGTTTTTTTCTGAGGGAGGTAATAATTAAATTACTTCTCCTACCTCAGCTGTGGCGAAAGGGAGCGTTACACTCTTACTTTTTAAAAACCCACTCCGTTCCCTTCTACTGCTCCAGGCCGAGACGTCGGTACATTGTTGCGCTTGATCCGCTAAACCTATCTGTCCACCTCACCACCACCACCTCAGATGGGGATCTGTGGTAGTCGGTTGGCTCTTTGAATCGACAGTTGTACGTACATAAATTATTAATTTCTATAATTTCTACATTTAGGTACATTGCACTGAAATTTCTGACTGTATGAGCTTATGACTTACCACAATCGCCACATCATCAGTTAGTTTTTATCGTTGAATTTTGCATATGGTGGTCACTGCTTCCAAAGACCCCGATATTCAAGGCCATAGGAGTTATTAAGGAAGGAACCTTATCAAGCATAAAGTGGAACAGCTTTGCCCACTTCATCGAGGGCCAAACACAAAGTCATGTAATTTACGTTACTCATAACTTAAATAATAGGTACTGGAAAACTTAATACACAATAATTTATCAGGACCATTGAAATAGCTGTTTATATGCGCATACAAATAGAAAAATAAACCTTGCGAACCCAAATAAATCGATAAATAAGGCTTGGGCCAAAATAATGAGGGCCCAACAGGGCAACGTTAGGTTTGGACCCAACGGCGGCACGATTTTACAGACCATTAAAATTTATAGACCATCCGGTGTAAGATGGATGTTTATTTGTAATTGCTGTACAATTATAAAAATGGGAGACAAATGGAGTGATGGGAAATGTAAGTACGTGTTTTATTTAGCTTTTAGGGACATTTATTTCAGTAATTGGATATTAATTGATTTCTTCTTTATTCCAAATAGCATTAAGATTAATTTTACTTACTACTTGAGAAAGCCATCTAACGTTTACTTAATGTCGCTTTTGGTCATCGTGCTTTATGCTCATTGATATACTGATTTACTAATCATCTGATTTGTTCCACCCTGGAAAGGCGAAAGGGAGCGTTATTCTCTTATTCATATATAACCTCTCCGTTCCTCCTGCTTCGATTTGAGTCTTGGTATAGCATTGCGTTTTAATCAAATCCTTGCCGTGCACTGGTTCTAGCTCATATCTGATACAAGTCCGTCCGCTGACCGATCCCAGTCTCCTGAAGGTACTTCTGCGGCAGCTGGACTGTAAGGACGATGATTCGGATTTCCAGTTCCTCTGTCTGACCAAGATCAGTTGCCGCCGCCAACAGTGACCTTGCAATACATGCATCTCAAATATCAGGCACAATAGAAAACCTCATCTAATCGTTAAGGGTTTAAAAATATATATATCTGTTCATCTACGACGTAACCTAGAACCAATTCAAAATTTTACACTTGTCTACTCTATCTTTCCGCCATTTTAAAGAAGTGATATACAACCTTTTTTCCCTTTATCTCCAAAACAAACCTATTTGGTTCATTCCCGATCCATCAAACTGACTCAACTTTGACAAGCACCTGTCTCTGATATGATTTTGAAATATATTTTGCAAATACTTTTGTAATATGAAAACTTTGTGTTAATTCCTTTTAGAGTTCAATTAAATCTATATTATTCTGTAGGCTTTAGAGCATTATTATTTTGGAACGTTTTATATTGTATGTGTTTAAATAATTGGTGCATGGAAGAAATTACGTTAAAAATTACTGATTAATAAATAAAGTGAATGGTTTACATGGAGAATAGGATGATATTTGCCTCGATAATTCGGATGGTCTGAGCTCTACCGACAAGGAGAGGCCTTTAAAAATCAACTTTCTATCAGTTCAATCGTCTTTGAAAAAAATAACACAGAATATTAAAGCGGTTAATTTGGAAAACCCAATAGCTTTATGCTTTTTCCTTCTGTCTTCTCTGAGGTAATTTAAAATCTTTGTTTGAAAAATGTTTTCTCTCACACATGAACTACGGGATGTATTCTTATGTAGTTTTCATTAAAACATAATGAGGATTACTGAATAAATTACTGGGTGTTTTTAGTTTTTCTTTTGAACTCTTCCCAATATCTATATACCTTAATAATTATTTTTGTGTTTGTTAGTACATTTATGGAGAAAGGCTGTAGGCTATAGAACATCACGGTACGATTAAAAGGAGCGAGTGAAACCGCCACAGAAGCCAGTTTAACTGATAAGAGTCAGTTCAGATCATAAATGAACTTGAACACATACAGAAAAACTGATGTTGTAGTGACTAATTTAATAGCTTTTAATCACGAAGAATATCCAAGAGACAATCCTCTTAATATATTCTCGCCTTTAAAGGTGCTGGTGTGAAAATTATCTGGACCAGGTCACGTATTGAAGAACCGAGAGACCTGTTGTAGTGACCCCCCAAGATGAACGTCCTCCGGTCTATGTTTGGTGTCTGCAGCAGTTCAGCTGAGAAAGGCGAGGTCCATGATACCATCAGAAGAGTATTTGGCAATGACATGGTGATGAAGGATAATGCTGATCGGCATTCTCAGTGAGTACAAACTTACCTCATTAATTTTTTTTTTATGTGGTTGGACGGCAAACGAGCATACGTAATACCAGATGGTAAGCAATCAGCGCTGCCCATGGACACTCGCGACAATGGAGGAGTTAAGAGAGCGTCGTTGCCGACCTTTTTGGAAGTGGGGTTCGAGAGATTGAGAGAGAGGAAGGATTGGGCCTACGGTAACCTCACTCACACGGCGAAACACAACGCTGTGGTTGTTGACGTCGGTTTGCTGTGCGGCCATAGTAGCATGGTTCTTCCATACTTAGGCTATTACAAATGTAAAGAAATTTAGAAGCAAGTCGTTTTCAGAAGGAGTAAGTACGTGAGTCACATTCGTGAGAACCTGCCTAAGATGCTGGATGCCAAGGCCGTGACCCATAAGACGAAGGCCAAGAAACATGCCCCGCCGGTTTCAGAAGTAAAATATTGTTTTAATATGTTTGGTTTGCAACTTTAATGCATAGTTATAATGTTGACTTTGCATTGATCTAGTGGTAGAATGAGAAGTTCATATTAAAAACTTGAACGTCATCCTTCGTTTGCTGTCAAACTATTATAGAATTTTCAACTTTATGATTATGCATTATAGTCGAAATTCCCTTTTTAGTACTAGAGAATACCAAAGTATAAAGCTCAAAGGACGAGCGAAACCCAGAACGCACCCGACCACGCCACAGATTAAAAAATAAAAGTAACTACATGACCCGCTTTCTATCCGCAAAACCGACACGACACGCAAACTAAAGCAAGCAACTTTTAAAACGTGAATCTATATATTTTTTATTTCGAACCTTATGATATAAAGGTTAGGTTCTATCTACCTTTTTTTTTTTGTCAGGGGAAAATCATCCAATGACTTCTCCCGCCCAGGGTAAGGCGAGAGAGAGTGTCAGACTCTTACTGACTAAAAACCCCCCCGTTCCTTCTCCTGCTCTGGGCCGAGGTCGCGGTGCCTCATTGCGCTTACCCCGCAGCCCCGGCTAAGGTTCTATCTACCTAAGGGCTTTTTCCCCGTGGTAACAAAGGGCACTCAGCTCCCACTAAAACAGTTGGGTCTGGTTCTGGTCAGGCGGCGAACTACGCCTTTTTTAATGTGATGGGTCGGCCGATGAGCATTTTACCTGACCATGGAAACCCGCAACACCAGAGGTGTTAGCAGTGCGTCGCCGGCCTTTTTGTGTTTGGGAGATTAAGTAAATCTTTTGATTTCAGACTACTGAATCAACTGACGACAGATATGGGAGGATAGGACCGAAAATCGTTGTCTTCGATGCTTCAACAGGTTGGTTTACTTAATTACTGAACCTGTGTATGTATATGTATAAATAACTCAATGATTTATTTTAAATTATTATTGGATAGGTCAGCGAATGAGCCGACGGATTATATGATAGTATAAGCAATGGACAATCGTAATACCAAAGCAATAAGGCAGGGGGAGGGACTCGCATATATGAGTCGGCTTGATGGAAGCAACACCACGTTCTCACAGAAAACCGGCAAAAAGCATTGTGTTTCATCGGGTAAATGAGAGTACCGGAGACCTCTTCCTCCCACTTCTTCCCCTCCACCCATCCTCAAAACCCCAATTATCTAATTACTAACCTCCAAAAAGCCGCCAAGGTACCCGTATTGCGGGTGTCCACAGACACTGATTGCCCTTACCCGTGCTCTAGCCCAATCCAGGGCAGGAAAAAAAGTCTAAGAGAAAATATTCATGTTTATGCATCTCATATTTTAACTAGCCTCTAATTAACCATTAATATCCACTTATTATGCGTCAGCTGGCCGCCATTTTCAGCCTAGGAATGTCATCAAAAGCCCGTTTGTTATAGCACCACAGACTAAACTGTCACAAAGCGACACCACAATACAAGAGTAATTGGTCTATTTAACACAGGCACAGCGTTTTCCAGACAGTTTGTGTAAATACAACGAAATGCTTTGCCATTGTACAATTATTTTGTTCCAAAATATTTGTTCTGGGGCAAATGTTTTCTTATAGAAAGGGTACTTTAAAACTATACTTACTTTACTTTAAAAAAGATGTGTGGGAAGTGTGGGAGATGCTTCAGCACGAATGGGTTGGCTCGACTGAAGTGATACCACGGCCTCACAGAAAACCGGCGTGAAGCAACACTTACGTTGTGTTTCGCCGTGTGAGTGAGGTTATCAGAGGCACAATATATAGGGGATATGAGGATTGAGGATGGTGGGAGGGGGGAAGAATTGAGCCTTCAATCCCTAATATATAATTCCTATAACTAACAAGAGACGGGCAATGCACTTGTAAAAACTGCTTTGATATTACAAGTGTCATTGGGTGGCGCTGATTGCTTACCATCAGGTACACCGTCTGCTCGTTTGTAAAATAAAAAAAAAATGTGACTACTTTCATTATGAAAGCAGAAGACTTTAGAAAGCATCTAGTGAAAATTTAAGAAAGTTGCCACCCTGGGGGATTGTCAGCGAGTTTCAGATTGTTACTGACTAAAAACCACCCCATTCTTTCTCCTGCTCCAGACCGCGTTACAATATTACGCTTGCACCCAACTCAAACTGGCCATAGACCGAAGCGACCTTACTCCTAGCGATGGAACGCGATGCACCGTACGCTCAGATCTGGTTCAGGTCGGGCGACCTGTAAATTAATAAGCATCAAATATCTACAACGTTATGACAAGATACCATTATATTTATCTCAATCTCCAGGTACAGGGCGCCTAGTCCTGGTAGGTGATGAGAGAGTCAGTGTCCAGGGTCTGTCCAGCTTCGCTACCATCAGAGCAACGGCATGTGTCTACGGAGGGAAGTGGATGTATGAAGTGCAACTTGGAACTAAGGGAATCATGCAGGTAAATGGCCAATGCGACTGCAGTTAATGCAACATACATTGTTTTTTGTTCAAGTTGTTGCATTGTTTTGTTCATTGAAAAACTTAGCTTCCTAGTAGTAGCTTCTGCCAGCGACTTTTCCTGCGTTACTCCGATAAATAGTAGCCTATGTGCTATTCAAGATTATAATCATCTTTGTGAAAATTTTCATCAAAATCCATTAATTACTTGTTACGTGAAGTAATAACAAATATCAATTCAATACATATTTGCAAAATTACGCCTTCATTATATTAAAGATTATAATCATATTTGATTTAAGGTCCCTATAATGGAAAGCAGTAGTATTTTTTTATTAAATAGGAGACAAACCAGCATACATATACGGGCGCCCGCAACACCAAAGGAGACACAGACGCGTTGCCAGCCTTTTATAAGGGAGTACGCTCGTTTTTTGAAGGTCGTATCGTTCTGGATATAGAACCACCGCCAAAAGATCGGTCCAAAGTTTTATCTGTGCGAGACATAAAGTTTATTATAGCCTAAATCACTCATAGGGATCACAAAATTGTTCATATCAGCAGTTAAAATAGCAAACCTATTTCCACGTGAGTATAGAGTACCCAGATATTTTAAGAAGCATCCTTCTTCCAAAGTAATTTTAATGGTCTAATCAATGAGACCATTAAAATTACCAAAACCTTTTATCTCATCTAGATTGGCTGGTGCACAGCCTCCTGCATCTTCTCGATGGACACTGGAGTAGGAGACACCGCTCACTCCTACGCCTATGATGGAGGAAGAGTGAGGAAGTGGAACGTAGCCACCTCGCCTTACGGACAAGTCTGGTTGCCTGGTGACGTCATTGGCTCCTGTATCGACCTGGACAGAGGGACTTTGGAGTTTTATAGGTAAGGACTCAAAATCAGTGGGAACCCGAGGTCTTCTTTTTGGTTAAGAAAAGCTTGATAAACCTTCTGTCAGGTATAGGCATAGGGTTATATATTTGCTAAACGATTGTAACTTCTATGAACTAGGAATAAAAGTTGAGATCATCATAAATAACTTTAAATCAATGGGTTCTGATAGGGGAAAGAGAAAAAGTAAAAGGAACCTACAATATAGGGTGATAAGTGTAGGAGACCCATTCTCCGTATCGAATGAGCCAGCTTGATCGAAATAGTACTACTATCTCGCGGATATAAAACAGGCGTGAAACTACTTTTCTTAGTATTTCGCTCTATGAGTGAGTACAATCTGTACAATCAATCCCTCCTGGTCCTTTCCACCATCGTACCACAAAACAATCGGCAAAACGTCATCGCTTCATTGTGGATATTCCACCTACACCTTAAATAAGCCTTTGTTATCTCTATTATTCACGTCGGACGAAAAATAAAATGATCTTTTTAAAATATAGGTTGTACACAAAACTGTGTCAGTAATACAATCTTTCTACCTGTTCAGTCAATTTCCTACAGAATCAATTCACTCCAATAAGAACGTGAATCGATCAGGAAATTCATCTTCGCGTCGCTCAGCGATGCAATCTCGTATGAAAATCGATTTTGCGCTATTTTTGTCAACTCGAACTGATTTAGAATTCATTGTATTGTATTTGTGGAGCTTTGACGAGAGCGTTTGAATTATTTCGTGCCTGAAACTCTTTACTAGTTTAAATTAATTTGATTTTGATGACTCAAACGTTACCTTAGAACGGTTTTGTTCCAAACATAATACTAAAGACTGAAAATGTAAGGATACAATTAAATGTCTCTGAGTGCGGAAGTTAATTAAATTGTCTACCAGTATAGTGTTGATTAGCCTTCGGTTTTGATAATTCTAGACGTAGACTTGGGTTTATAAATACTTCAATGTCTTACAAATGTCATGTTGAAGGTTACAGCGGCTGAAAATAGTTTCTGATAATACGTGAATGGTCGGTGGATTGATTTATGGTTCCATATGGTTGCAGAGAAATATCCTTTTTGTAAAAGTGGAGTTAGCCCACTGATTGGGCCCAACAGGGCCGATTTTTCGCCGTGATAACGGGTCAAGCGCAATAAGGTACCGTGGCCTCGGCCTCCTCGGTGGATCAGAAGAAAGACATGGTACCACGGCCGCACAGAAAACCGGTAAAAACCGGTGAAAGAACTACAGCGTTGTTTCGCCGCGTGTGTGAGGTTACCGGAGGTCAACTCGTTTGCTTCTTTGTCTTATCACATAAAAAAGGCACTATGAGTCTCATCATTCCCTCTCGCTTCGCTTTTTCGCACTTAAACCAAAAAGTTAGTTTAACTTTTTAATTTTTCCTTCTGTCCAGGAATGGTACCTCAATGGGCGTGGCGTTCGAGAAGGTCACACATGGATCCGGCCTTGCATACTTCCCGGCTGTGTCGCTGGCAATGCAAGAACACTTGTATGCCAATTTTGGACACGTGCCATTTGTGTAAGTAGCTATAAAACCTTCATATAGAGTTATTGACACATCAATCAATCAATAAAAGCTACTATGTATTGCATATTTAGGTTCAACATCGGTGTAGTAAAAGAAACAAGGATTTTTGCAAGAATAGAACTTAATTGGGTGTTTCAAAATAAGTGAAATTCTTTTTTTGAATTTTTAAAATCGTCAGTTCCGCCGTTTTTGCGTGAAAGACTATCAAACATACATTCTCACGAATATTCACATCTATACTTAATATTATAAAACTGAAGAGTTTCTCTCTCACTCTCTCTCTTTCTCTCTCTCTCTCTCTCTCTATCTCTAATCTCCGGATCTACTGGTTCAAATTGAACAATTCTTTTTGTATTTCTTAGTCTATTTATCGAGAAAGGCGTTACTATCTGTAGGAGCAGAACAGCGAGCAAAACCGCGCGAGATATGCTAGTTTAAAATATTAGAAGGAGTTTTCTTCTACAGTTTTCCAGTGGAAGGTTACGCAGCTTTGCAAGCTCCTCCCTACAGGGAGTGCGCACGCGCCGTATTGCTATTCAAGTCGCTGGAAGCATTGCTTGATGAACTGGCACGACCCTCGGAGATGAAGACTTCTCTCACGGCTAAGAGTAGCAAGGTATAGTTATAAGATTATATTCATTAATCAATATATATAGGTATAATAATCAATGGCACTTACCGTTGTAATATTATAACTCAACAATGCCTTACCGATTTGGCTAATTTTGATCTTGAACTATTTGTGGAAGCCCAGAAAAGGTTTTATTGGATATTTATTACAGGAATACAGTCGTTTCTAACTATACAACTTCAATACTTTTATCTAAGTGTCCAAAATTTTATGCTCTGCTACGTAATCGTAAGTTATAACGTCATATTTTAGAATTAAGCTGCAAACTGGTTTCAATTTGATATGTTAGATTATTATGTTTAGAAAATTAAGCATATCGGCAGATCAATTAATAAAAGGATAGTTATTAGTCAATATTATTTCGTATTGAAACGTCGAACTAATACATTTGACTAAGGAAACTACCCCGTTGTTATTGTTCCCAGGCTAAATCTGAGACTTTTAAGCCTGAGGAGGAGGTGACCTTGAGGATTCACAGCTCAGGGTCCGTTTACACTCCACCGCCGTCACCACACACGTTAGTTGATCCACAGAACACTGAGGTCAAGAAGATGTCCAAAAAAGTAAGTGCATATGACTAACCTTGTCTCGGCTTTACCTATATCCTTTTCCATAATTCCTATGTACATTCATATCATCTTCAACCTGCATCTACTGCTGAATAAGGCTTCTTCGCACATTCACAAGATTAGATTTTATTGATGAATATGATTAGACATTAATCTCCACCACAAATCTTAATAATAAGACAAATTAGGGGTTGAAGGAGACTCGGGGGAAGGATGTGTCTCAGTAAGGTGCTGGTAGGGGTCTTGACCGTACTTCCGGGATTGCTCTGATAGCCGTGGGATGCCTCTCCTTCCCCAAGCAGCTCAACGTATGTTGCCTCCGTGTCGCTACATGCTAGCGGCCGTTTCCGGGGGCCCATTAATTGAGTTTGCCAGTCACCCCCTACCTGTTTATCCGTATGTATCAATATTGGTCAGGGGCAGGGGCCATAGTATTTCCATAGTTATCATATCCACCAGTCCATAGCAACCCATACCATGTAACCCTATCAATCTTTACCAAATTTCGCAATAGTCCTGCATCAACCGGGAATTATCCTGGGGTGCACTTTCATAGTGCATACAGGGATAATTGCCGGCTGATGTCCCATCACATTTATATTAAAATTGTTCAACGGGCCTCTACGAGTTGGCTTCGGCTCCTCGTCGCCTTCCAAAGGTCCGGGATCCTGTGATCCTGTGGAAGGAAACGAACAGACAAATTAAAGTTTTTGTTCAACGGGCCTCTGCGAGTTGGCTTCGGCTCCTCGTATGCCTTGCAAAGGTTCCCGTGTAATTATTAAAAGTCTGTTGCATAATTTTGTTTGTATGTATTCATTGGGATATAGGGACAGAGAAAGCGACTTTGTTTTATACAATGTAGTGATTTCTGTCCACAGGCGTTCCTAATGTCGCTATCAAGGTTGGTGGTGGTGGAACTGGGCAACACTCTCCGTCTGTCGTACGTTGTGGTGTCGGAACTGCTGCCCCGATTTCGAGGGCTCATTGGCTTGAAAACCAGGAGTATGCTTGTGGATCAACACGCCGCTGAATTCTACATGAAGTGTCGGGATGAAAATTTCGTAAGGCAATTTCTTTGATGAATTTCTTTTTTAAAAGAGTCTTGCTCTATTGTTTTTTCTACAACAATAAAAAGCATTAAATCTGTTTATATTTAAAAATAACGTCTCACTCACGTGAAATTAACTGAGAAAACCACTACTAGCTTCAGCCAGTCGGCTGCGCGACGTCACCCCGACCGCGACACCCACGTTGCTCATGAGTAAAGATCCCGTTGTGACTTGAAACTTATAGTAGAGCTTTTTTCACGCCTGTTTTCTGTTAGGCCGTGGTATCACTCCGGGCTAGCCAACCCATTCGTGCCGAAGCATGGCTCTCCCACACAAAAGCTTTGTAAGTTAATTCACAAGAGTAATAGGTTTTTATCAAAAAAAAATCGGAAAATCTGTTTAATACACGTTCATATTTTAATCATATGGAAAATGCATATTATTTCTTTCACGGACGGCTAGTTAAATAGCAAACAAATATCGTAGGACTCTCCCAGTTCCCAATCACAGTTTTCCCACTATCCAGTTTACCACATTTACCTACATGCATTATAAATGCCTTAAAATATCCGATAACCATTATTTAAACGACTTAAAATATCATCACAATGTATGCAAAGTTCCGCAAAACATTTCTAAATTTGTCGATGACCTTTCGTTTCTCGCGACCTTTAGTCGGGTTTAAAATATTCCACGATTTGGGCCACCTCCGGACAGTGGCACATTTAAATTAAATTAACTGGTCCACTAGACCTAGGAATTGTTCGTGGAAATACTCGGACGGCATGTTTATTTCATTTGTTAATAGCTATCTATACTATCATGACTTTTACTACCTAAACATTATTATTTTTACCATAAATGATACAGAACCAACTTATAATAATAACACTGTGTAAAATGGGCGGTTGTATCGCTAAATGCGACTTCTTACAGATCAGGGTCGGTAAGTGTACAATAATGATACATTATACATACTACCTAAATATACCAACTAAATACTAAAATAAATAGTACATATAATATACATGTGTGAACATGTGTGTCCGTGAAGTACTCTCTCTCCCTCTCCCATATGAATGTTTGTTTTCGCACTTCTTTTTAATGATTCCCCTTCTGTTAAGCTAGCTATGGAAATGGAAAAATGGAGAAAAATCTTTTAAAGCACCTCTCTTCTATTTACAGACGGGTCTTGCGGCAAAACTGCTGTCACAACCAAACCCTCGTCTTTGTACTATGCTGGACCTGCTCTGGACCTTCCTAGATGAATCTGCTTTATGTGACGTTCTAGAACATTGCGTGGTCCGAGAGTGTCTGCTGTTTGATCTGGTATCTCAGGTTAGATTGCCTAACAAAACATTTCTGATAAAGAAGAATTAAAAACCATTTATTTATGTAATAGTAGGCAAACGAGCAGACGGATCACCTGATGGTAAGTGATGGGCTCCACATATGGACGCCTGCAGCACCAGAGAAGCCACAGGTCGTTTCTTGAAAGTTTGAAGATATTTTCTTAATAAAGAAGGTAATCAGCATAAATAAAGTTTTCAAATGGGTCCTAGATAAAGCGTAATAATGCCGATATTGTATAAAGGACTTAAGCTATTGAAAATGACATCACAGCGGAATAGATATTCATCGTTGAGAGCAAGAGGGAGTGTCAGACTTTTACCGACTAAACACCACCTCATTCTTCTTCTACTCCGGGCCCGGACCGCGTTATATTGTAGTTCCACTGCAACCCTAAATAAACATAGGTTCTATTGGATCCCATCTTTGGTGGTCTAATAGCTCTATGAGACGCACGCGAAATTAAGTTCACCTACTGGTTTTTCTGCTGTTCCAGGACATGCACTTCAGCCAGCAAATTGAGGGTGTTTACGTGCTGTGTGGTCTGATGCAGCACAGAGAGACCAGGCATCACCTTGTTAAATACGTCTTCTTCAATAAGATCACGTAAGAACAAACGCCACTTATAAGTCTTGTATTTTTTGTCTTAATTTTAAATTTAATAAGGCAACAATTTTTATTCTGTGGTCTCAATATTCTTAACCACCATCTAAGGGAATACTTTTTTGTCTGTGTTTGTTACTGTTACTGATTACAAACAGTTCCTTCTCCTGCTCTGGGCCGAGGCTGCAGAACATAAAACTAAGGAATTACTTGTGTTAGGGTTGCTACACACATTGCAACCTTAACACAAGTATTTGTAATTACTTACTGTACCTACTCGTTTGAGACTGTTTTTGTTTTTCTGTAACTGATGTTCTGTGGCTGATACGAGTTAACAGAGCTTTTCAATGAAAGCATTAGCAAAACTGTCAGTCGTTAATTTCTGTTTGGTCGTGTGTTTTTTTTTATTATTTATTTTTGTTTCATCCCGAGTCTTAATATTAAATGACATAGGGTCTGTAATCGTTGTTCCTATGATTGGACTTACAGATATGGACCTAATATCTGTTAATGCCAAAATATGGAACAGCGACGGATCTTTTGGACACGTCTCAGTGAAATTTAATTCGTTGTTACAAACTAATTCCGTATTACAGATTCGACAATTTCCTAAACGTGAAATGTCCAGACGACACCGTACTTCGGACAGTCATCAGGAAACCCTGGTGGCAACGACCGACCTCTGTCCAAGGAGAAACTGACCCCAGGATAGCTGGTAGCTTCATTCAATATTTAGATTTTGTATTAGCTTGACCTTTCCATGATTTATTTAATTCTCGACTTCTAGTCACACACAAGTCTGCGATTTTACTTAGCATTCATGTCCTTCAAGCCCAATATTTCTTCACCCTATCTCCAATCTCCCAATGCAATGCACTGGCAACTCTTCTGGGTGTTGACGATACCGATTGGTGAATTCAATTACTTTCTTAAAATCTCAACATCTCTTTCTTTCCACCCTATCCAATAAAAAACACTTTAGAATAATTGTAAGGATACTTTAGAAAAACTTTATATCACAAAATAATTGCTTTAGTTAAATCGTAAGAAAATAAATAGTAAAAAAATATTTGTGAGTGTAAAGGCTTCACTAGAACAATTACTATCTTAGCGTGATTTGCGCGGATTAAAAATACAGATTGACTTGAGAAAAACAATATTGTTAGGTCTTACACCTGTTACTGCAAATAAAGTTGAGAGTTTAGTCTGTCTAATTTTTTCCGAAAATCATCTTTGTCAAGATTTTCGACCTTAATTACTTACGTACGAGTACCAAGTTTCAAGATCGGTTCTGCAGTATTTTGGACTTGAAAGTATGCTTGGAAATTCGCACCACGTACACGCTCGTAAGAATTATTTTTAAACAACTCCCTGAATAAAGGTCTCAGAAGTTCAATCACTTCGACCTTTGTTCCCAATTTATTGCAACCTTTAGACTGACTGACACCATTCCAATAATACTATTACCAACTATTTGGATCAAACGTTGGCTCCAATTCAGAATTTGGGCTCGATTTCAGGTAGAACACAAAGGAATGCCTTTTCAGCCAAGTCTCAGAGACATAGGGTTAATTGCTTGGGGAATACGTGACAAGATGGTTTTCTTTTTGTAAATTAAAAAATAATATAAGTTCCAAAATTAAAAAGCAAAGAGCTTTTTAGACACTCCAAAGTTTCCATATTTTTATACGAATCTAAATTTACTTGATTCGTATAATATTAGATTTCGATAAAAATAGCCATTAGCCAGTAAGATACCACTGCTGATAAAAGGTCTTCTTAGACGAAAAAGGAGTGTGCATATCACTATGCTTGCTTAAGGCTTGGTAGAGCCATGGTTCGACACAAATGGGGACCGTCAGTTCGGCTTGACCGGAGTGATACCACAGCCTCACAGAAAACCGGCATGAAGCAATTTTTTAGTTATCGTGTATCGTGTGAGTGAGGTTACCGGAAGCCAAATTCCCCCTCCCCCCATCCTTTATTCTCAAATCATTAATTCCTAACAACCCACAAGAGGCTGGCAACGCACTCGAAGTAACACTTTTGGCATTGCGAGTGTCCATGGGCGGCGCCGATTGCTTACCATCAGGTAACCCTTATGCTACCATATACAGTATAATATGCAACACATACGTCAATGAATTGCAACAATAAACAATAATGTAAATTCTATTTACAGAAATGACTGAAAAAGGTACTATAAAGAAGTTGCCTTGCAGTCCAACCGGGACGGGTAAGTTGATAAATAATACTAGTTTTCCTACACACACTACATACTTATATTAATGTTCAGAAAATAATATAAATGATAGAATATAAAACGCATAAAACACGATTTAACATAATATGCAAATCTGCTTAATCCTTGGATGAATGAAATGTTTTGTTATTATGAAACGTTTTCAGACAAGATTCCGAAATCGGTATCGATAGCCCAAGATGATGCCGCATTGGAAGCTCAGTATCGGGAAGACTGCAACAAGATCACCAAAGCCGTCGCACCGTTGGAACAAATACAGGTACATTTCAAATGCTGCTGCTTTCAAACGAAAGGGAAAAAGTAAACGAACATACTCTCATATCACTATCTTATATATAAAAATGGATCGCAAAATGTGTTGGTAAGCAACAGCAGGTCAACAACGCCTGGACCAATTTTGCTAATTCTTTTTTTGTTGTGTTTGTTATTGCCAGGAGAAAGTTCTTATCAAAGAAAATATTAGAAAAGTAGAGGGGAAGATTAGAAAAAAAATGACCCTTTGATAGCGAGATAGTAGGACCCGTGCGATATATAAAAATGTATTGCAAAATGTGTTGGTAATTCTTTTGTTGTTTTTTCTTTTGTAGAAAATTCTTATGAAAGAAAAGTAGAGAGGGAAATAGCTATAGGTCCCTTTCGTAGTTAGCGAGATAGTTGGAGACACGTGCGAAGCAGGGGCGAGCTGCTAGTATAGTATAAAACAAAGTCGCTTTCTTCTATATTGCTTATATCTTTAAAAGGTAACGAATTTTCCTCTTGCCAACTTAAAAAAATGCTGTTGTAGTATATTGGCTATATGATATTTCTCAAAAAAGGTCGGTACTAGCACGCTTTCTTTACCATGAGACTGTGAGTCTTAAAATATTTTGTGCAAAATAAATATTTCATAGAATGTGCACTTCTGTTCTGACTACCGTTTTGGAGATCAAAATTAGTTGATGTTTATTTTTGTATCCACATAAGTGTGTGTATATTATGTCCTAATGTAAGTAACTTTAGTACGGATTAACGCGAACCTAATGGCAACATGTGGACTTATAAATTCATTCTTATTCTTATTCCTATCTTAATCACAACTTAATCTTCAAGCGAAAAAGGAAAATAGCTTTATTTTCACTCTCTATAACATGTAGAATGCCAAACAGATAACCGTGAAAGCCTAAAAGTTCATGGTTCAATACCTAGGTCACGAATGTATCCGATTTTGGCAACATTCCCTCAAACTGCAGTTGTTATGCAAAATAATCTGGCTTCAGCAGATATTTACTGACCATTTTCTACGCTTTGAGGTGGATTTTGTCGATGTTTCCAAACTAATTTGGCAAAGGAAATGTAACTATAAAATGAGGTATTTAAAGTTATTTATCGAGTGAAACTTTCAAGGTTCCGAAATTGACCTATTCTTTTATTAGGGTTCCGGTTACGTAAGCAATAATTTACTTCTGGGCTATAGAGGACACTCCTGCCCTGTCTATAGTTCCGATATTATGGTTAGCTCTCGTTTTTGAGGAGAAAATCATCCAATGTGCAATGACATGGGAGTGTCAGATTCTTACTGACCAACAACACCCCCGCTCCTTCTCCTGCCTTAGGCTGAGGGCTCACCTTATTGCGTTAACTCCGCAACCCCGGCCGAACATCGGCGCTGTAGGACCCTGTCTGTGGTAGTTTTTTGGCTGTTTTAGGCGCGCGCCGAACGCTACGCAGGGTATAGTCAGGTCTGGTTCTGGTCGGGTGGCGAACTTGGTAGTCGACTCTGGCAATGCTTACAGAAACAGAAGGTTCAGTCTTTTCCTTTGAACATACCTTTTTCAATAAGCTAGAGTTTCACGGTGATCATTAAGCACATTTCTGATATGTCAAAATGTGATGTTCAGGAAATCGGTGAGAGTGTCAGATTCCTACTCACTAACAACCACCCTGTCCTTTCTTCTGCTCCGAGCCGGAACCGCGGCACATTATTGAGCTTGCACATATAGCCCAGGTTTTGACATCGGTCCTATTAGGCCTAATCTATGGGGGTCTAATGACCTTTTGCTACACGCGTAGAACGCGATGCTCCTTACCCTCGGTTCTCATTCAGGCCGCGTATTCCTCCTTTTCATTGGTTGAAAGATGTACTGAAAAAAAAGGATAGCGTGCGTTGACACTTTTTTTAGAAATATTGAGGATATAATGGTTTAAAAACTGTCAGCTGATTTGTGTTCAGTAATTGTAATCGTTATAATATACTATATTATTGTAACACACACATCAATAACTTATCAGACTATAACTGAAGAGAGTCGATACGTTTGGTCACATTGGTATATAAGAGGTTCCGAACCCTCACCCTCAACAACACCCTCATGCATGAGAAGCCTTTATCGCTAGAGCACCACAACAATACACACATAGCTCTACCAATTTGTATATCAAAGAGGGCTCTCGCCCAAAATCGGCCACACTATGCCCGCTTTCCCGTCCGCTCCGATGGATATGACGTCACAGTGAAACATCGATGCACGCCATCTTTCACATTCCCGTTTTGCATTCAACTGAAGCCTCAATTAATGACCATTCCAACATAGTCTAGCCTTTTACATCATCACATCATCAGCCTATAAGTGCCCACTGCTGATCAAAGGCAAGAGGCCTCAAAAACCGCACGGAGAAAGTTTTGAGCATTAATCACCACACTAGCTCAAAGCGGATTGGCGATTTCAGACTTATAATTAGAATTTATAAGTCCAGCTTTCCACACGATGTTTTCCTTTACCGTATGTCAGTTGTGTCTAAATAATCATAGAAAGTACATATAACTTCGGAAAAAGTCACATTAGTACTTACCAGTACCACTAAATCTAAAAGTGATGCTTTTCATCCAACAGTTAGAATTTCTGCTTCTACTCTTGGACAACACTGATGGAACAAATATGGTGCCGTCGACCAGGAAAATATTTCTGGAGAAGTTCCGAAGGTACATTATGGACAACTGCATTTTGGATATGGTAAATGTTACTGATGTTCTTAATTCTTCGTACCAGAGGTCTTTTTATAATGACCTTATATAATTATATGTAATATATTTAAAAAGAAAGCTCACGCTCTATACATAAGCTCAAGCCCCTAGTCAAAATATTTTATTTTTATTATATTGTTTTGTAATTAAAAACATTGATGTAGTTTTTTATATGTAGTTGGCTGGCGGCCACTATCTCTCATAGTGGCGATATATAAGAAACCTATACACTCGGCCCTTTTTTTCAGCAGATCCACAAACAGAATCTACAATACTCAGAGAATTTATCTCTTATTATTACTTTTTTTTTGTAAAAATGCTTTGCTACTTAACTAACCATAAAACAACTCTGAATAGATCAGATGGATGCCAGGTCTGTTTGAACATTTGTCATGTTGTCAAAAGTCGAATTCCATGATAAAAGTTTCAGGACATCATATTTCAGAGGCTGTTCAATATATCGAGGAATTCGCCGGCGATATCGTGGTGCTGCCACTCCAGGCTACTCACTGCTGTCTTGAGGCTGTGGAACGAGAACCCTATTGGTAATATTGGGTGAGTATTATTGAGTAGATGTTTAGGTGGGACACTGTTTTTGAGGCAATTGGGCTCGACCTTAGTGATACCACGGCCTCACAGAAAACCAACGAAAAGAAACCACAGCGTTGTATTTCGCCGTGTGAGTTAAGTTACCAGTTACCCAATACATGTCATGTATTGTTTGAGAGTTCTAGGTTGACGTTATCATAACAATACCCCCTTAAACGGGAGGCAACGCACTTGTAACTTGACGGCGCTAATGGCTTTCTTCCATATCCATTTAAAATAGTTTTAAAAATCAATCCCCAAGTTTATTATCTACCCAGCCAGGGTTGTGGGTGGAAGCGTAATAATATACCATGGCCTGGGCAGGAAAAGGAACGGCATGTTTTTAGTCAGTTAGAGTCTAACGCAAACGCTAATCCAGGGCTAGAGAAGGGATTAGATGGTTTTTGACTATAAAAAAGGTTAATTTTCTATTAACAAAAATTTTACGTTCAAATCAGTCCATCCGTTCCGAAGATTCGCGTGGCAAAACTGATAAACATACTCTTATACTGATTCTTTAATACCCTATTATGTTTTATTGTAAAGTATTGAATGTGCAATAGCATTTTTTCCTGTTTTATTGTATGGATTACATTTACACAAAAATACGTTCTACTGCCCTATTCCAAAACAGATAAAGCTGTTATCCAAGAAACTTAGTTTTCAACTACATTTTATTAGCTGGTAATAAAATAAACCTTTATAAAAAACTAGAAGATAGTCCCGTATATGCGAGCATGTATTTTAATAAACACACACCCTTGTATAAATGTAGTTACGACTGATAAGGGTATAAAAGCTCCTTATCTTTAAATAGAAATTCACACGTCACCGCCCGTCCAGCGATAGCGCCGCGCCAACAATAATACTTCGCGAAACTATTCCAATAAAATGTAATACTAACCGTGGCACTCACATGTACACGTCAAGTTACGCTGTATAAACTAACCGTTGAATGTGTGAAAAGACATGGAGCGAGATCATGATAAACTGGTTTTTTAAAGCCGTAGGGTACATTATTGCTTGCAGACTGTTTAATTGAGAACACACGTTTAGGTATTACAGAAAGTGTGGTTTTTGTTAAGTGTGGGAGAGCCAAGCTTCGGCACGAATGGGTCGGCTCGACCGGAGTGATACCACGACCTCACAGAATAACGGCGTGAAACAACCCACAGCGTTGTGTTTCGCCATGTGATTGAGATTACCGGAGGCCCAATCCGTCACCCTCCCCTATTCCTTCCCGATCCTTATATCCCCCACCCCTATACCCAAAAGGCCGGCAACGCATTCGTAACTCCTTTGGTGTTGTGGGTGTCCATGGGCGGCGCCGATTGCTTACCATCAGGTAATCCGTGTGCTCGTTTGCCGACTTATACCATAAAAAAAACTGAATTATATGGTGCTTAATGAAGCCAAATGAGTATTGGTAGGCTCAATAAACCAAAAATAGATTCTTTTTCTATACTGCATCAACACTATTTCGTAAGTTATTTTTTATGCTGAGCACAATCATTGCATGATTTTCCAACCATAAAAAAGAGGCCAAATAACTGTACAGACTACAAGTATACACAGTCCTATAACTACATTGTATTCATCAAATGCATATTATCAGGAACTGATAAGGAACCTTTTAAAAATATACATCGATAATAAAAATACAAGCTTTTTCATGTCATAAACGAGCAGACGGATTACCTAAAGCAATTAGCGCCATCATAGACACTCTTAGTACCAAAGGAATACGTTGCAACAAGTGCGTTGCAGGCCTTTTGTGGGTTATTAGGGAATTTGAGGATAGATAGGGGATTTAAGGATTGAGAAAGTGGGCACGCCTCCGGTAACCTCATTTTCACGGCGAAACACAACGTAAGTGTTGCCTCACGCAGGTTTTCTGAAAGGCTGTGGTATTGCTTAGTTTTAGTTATAATTCTACAATATTTATTTTTTCTACTTTTTTGTGTAAACGCTTAATTTTAAGAATGTTGGTTAGCTCGTAGTTAGCTAATGTATAAGATCTACTACCTATTATCTAATACATTTAAGAACTTTGTATACATAAGCTGTGAGCCTAAGTTTTTTCAATAAATAAAATAAAATAAATAAATTGCTGTGGTGGAGCCGATCCATTCATGCCGTAGGATGGCTCTCCCACGCTTTCTATTTATAGTGAAAACTCACTACAATTTATTTATACCATTTATAGTCCTCCATGACATACATCAACAGCCTATAAGTGCCCACTGCTGAGCAAAGGCCTCTTCTCACACGGAGAAGGTTTGAGCACTAATCACCACGCTTGCTCAAGGCGGGTTGGCGATTTCAAACTTATAATTAGTAATTATAAGTCCAGGTTTCCTCACGATGTTTTCCTTCACCGTATGTCAGTGGTGTCTAAATAATCATAGAAAGTACATATAACTCGGAAAAAGTCACATTGGTACTTGTCAGGTTTCGAACCCACATCCTCATGCATGAGAAGCGGGCTCCTTAACCTCCGGGCCACCACGACTCTCCATGACATAATTCTGTAACATATTTTTTACATTTCCAGCTGTTCGATTCCTCACATCCCAGCCAAAACATTTATTGATGGAGAGTTGGACTTCTACAATGTGGACCGCCTAGGTGGAGTCCTGCCCTTTTTAGTTCGAACATTAAGGTAAATAGAACAATAAGATATACCTCTGAAATATCAACCAAACGCAAACTTGCTATGTATATTAAAGCGTACAAAAATTTGCAACCATTTCAGTCATTTACAGATAATAACTTACTCCTGGCCTATTCCCAAACAGATTAAGCTCCAAGAAGCGTAGTTTCAACTAGATTTCATTAGTTGTACCTAATATTTCTGCGACCTTCACCATCCCATTCAATTAAGAATAATAAAACAGCCCGCATATACTACCCGCTCTTAGAACCAGAATATTTTGCAGGCGTCATTTCCTGTGATACGAGTATTGCTATGTGTTGCTAGCCTCCTGCTCGGCATCACCAAAATACTTTACCATAATAAATTATACACCTCAATATTCCAATGATATCTGTCATTTATTGGCGGCATAGGCCCGACTAATAGCTCTTTTAATAATTTCGTATTACTTCAAAGTTTAGCTTTTCATTAGATGTAGATTTTCGTGAAAATATTAATGAAAATTTTGTCCTAAGGCAAGACCTCGTCGGAGTCTTGGGCGAGGATAACGCCTTCATACAAAGCTTCGAACCCAACTACAATCGAGCTGGCGGGATTGATACAGGTATACACTTTATATGCTTTTAGCCGCGGCTTAGCTACCGTCATTTGAGTTCCTACACTACCATATCTATTTACCTACCTATACGTAACTATCCTACTCTACTTACGATGATCTGATAGTAAGCAATCTTGCAGCCCTAGACACATAACGCTACCTCTAGCGTTATGTGTCTAAAGCCCTCGCTTTACGTGGTTCTCACCTCATTCATACAATTAACGCCGGCTTCCTTGAGGCCACGTACAGTCAGCTCCAAAAGTCGACGAACAGAATCAACTTACCAAAACACCTGTTCACAATAAAACGCCATAAGTTATAGTCGCAACTAGGAAACAAAATAGCCTGTACACCAGAAATTTACAAAAGTCGTTACACACGACTAATTCAAAAGTATCTGTGCACTAGTATTCCTAAAGTCGCTGTACACCTTCAATCCAAATGTCGCTGAACATCATTGTATCAAAAGTCACTAAACAGCGGTAAAGACAAAATTAGGTTAACAAAGTATATGTCGGCGCACTGGCCATCAGTGCATGTAAAACCTCTTTGTTATACGTCGATGTCAAACTTCACTGTCAAATGTCATAATTAAGTCCATAGCGAACACCGAGCTCTGGTGAGGCGGCCTTCTTGTAAAACATGACAATTAGTGTTGGACCTTCGTAGAATACGCTCACGGCCACGTGTTCGGTGGACGTTAAGTTCAAATTCAACCTAATCTTAATTATCCTTAGTTAAATGGTAATTGTTGTGATTATAATATCAAGAGTTGTAAGAAGAGTGATTATAGCAACAGTTATTTTATTGAAATACTGTCTTCCTGCCCAAGCGGGGCATACTTCCACCGTATATTCTACCGTGTCCTCCGGGCGATCTGTGCTAGGTGACACCCGAACGTTTTCTCCGAACAAGATAAGCTGAATCTGAAAACGCTGAAAACAGCGTTTTTCAGCGTCGGTGTTTGTCGTAGTTGGGTTTTAGTTTTTACTATTTTGGTGTTAAAGTGTATTTGTGTCGCATAATATCAACAAAAGAATGAACTAATATTAAGTAGTAAAAGGTATGAACGAAAAGATGTGAATTATATGCAATCAGCACATGAATACAAGCAAAGTCACCAAAAAATGTTAGTAATATATATATATTCAAAATGAACAAGTAAAGCGCTTTAAAATGATACCAAACACGGTATAATTATCTTAACTTTATTTTTTTACTCTGGTTGTTTTGTCCGCTAGAGGACGCCGCATTCGATTTTGTAATACATCATATTATTATAACTTATAACCAGCGAACAATTAAGACGTTTCTAATGATATGTCATATGTCGAATTCTTTAAATTTTAGCATTGCCGTAGTCGGGTAAAAATAATAAATTAAAGGAAGGTAGGTTTTGTAAGATTTGCGCAAAGTAAATTACAAGTACCGTCACAAAAATCACTTCGTAGATCATTAGAGTTATGTTTATGTTATTTCATAAATTATAGATTAGTATGATTACTGACAATAAAATATAATTTATTTGTAAATAAGTTTTGAAATATGTAGATACTAACGTGTTAACATACATTATTAAGGTCTAGCAAACACTGTCCCAAAAGTAGCTGAACAACATAAGCGTCAAAAGTATATTAACACGGGGCAACATTAAAAATATACTTTGTTAACCTAATTTTGTCTTTACCGCTGTTTAGTGACTTTTGATACAATGATGTTCAGACACATTTGGATTGAAGGTGTACAGCGACTTTAGGAATACTAGTGCACAGATACTTTTGAAATAGTCGTGTGTAACGACTTTTGTAAATTTCTGGTGTACAGGCTATTTTGTTTCCTAGTTGCGACTATAACTTATGGTGTTTTATTGTGAACAGGTGTTTTGGTAAGTTGATTCTGTTCATCGACTTTTGGAGCTGACTGTACATATTCGTCGTATCACTCTGGTCGAGCCGAAGTATTCGTACCGAAGCATGGCTCTCCTACATGCCTTTGTAATTGTTTATTGACTCTTATTTATATTTGTAATGTAACTAGGCGTGCAGAACTTGGCCGTTGGCTTGGCTGGCGAGATGAGGGGACGACGGTTGCGGTCAGTCCATCTGAACTCGCCGCGCGGTTGGTCTCCCAGACACCGACGTTAAATTGACAAATTCTAATTTAGATTAAAGGAAACTGTATATCCATTCAACTTTTTACATCATCATATCATCAGTATATAAGTGTGAGCGAAGGCATCATCTCACACGGAGATGGTTTGAGTATTAATCGCCACGCTTTCTCATGGTGGATTGGCGATTTCAAACTTAATAAGTCCAGGCTTTCTCACGATATTTTCCTTCATCGTATGACCGTGTCTAAATAATTGGAAAAAGTCACATTGGTATTTCTCAGGTTTCAGACCCGCATACTCATGAAAAGCGGACGCTTTGACCTCCGGGCCCTCCTGACCCTAAGAATCTATGAAAGACTTTCTTAACTAGAGGAATTAGGTTCTCGACGAAACGAGGATCAATACTTAATGAAAAATTAGAAATTTAAATATATAAATCTATGTGGTGCACAAGAAACAGAATTATATTGTGCCCGTTTAGGTTGTCGCCCAAAAGAGAGATGACAAAAAATATTTATACAGACCCCATTCACTAGCTTGTCTCTTAAAATTCACAGGTGTTAGTGACATGGCTGCAGGGTCTCCAGGGTTGGCGACCCTCCCCCAAGTCATATCATCAATGGCCAGGTTTATGCATCCTCCCCTGCCACCAGTACCAAATAGGTAAGGAGGTGGCTTATATTATTTTAAATGACAGTTTTGCGATTTAAATAACATTCAATAATACTAAAGGTTCAGTAAATGTTGTAAGGCTTAGCTTTAAATCTTTAAATCGTATATGTATCTATATCTAACATATGTTCTCAAGAAAAAAAAACTTTTTTAGTTATGCGCTACGCTACAAATGCTACGGCGTAGCCATGCTACGGATGCTACGCCGTAGTCAATCATGACTAGGTTTCAAAGCTGTTTATCAAAATAATTTCTATAAGCGGAAACCCAACTCGACTTTTTTTTAGCTTTGTATTTCTCACTCTTTTTTACGTAACAGTTATTTTTTAACCTAATCAGGAGTACAGGAGAAACGGCCTTAGCTATCAAAGGAACTCGGTCTATGATGCCTGGAGCTGGGTCTATTGACATTAGGTCAGCATATCTTCGACTGGTAGACGGACTCCTTGCTTTATACCACGGAGCCGCTATCAAACATGCTGAGAAGGTAAGAAACAAGAAGGTTTTAAGCCAAGAAAAGAAGTATTTTAATTTAATTAATTACTTTAAGGATACAAAAAATATTTCACTCTTTCAATACGTACTGATTGAAATCTCTGCATTATTGTAAATGAAATTACAATATTATTATTTATTAATAATTTTCGGCCAGTCTATACACAAATTAATTTTATTTTGATCTTTCCAACCCTGGTTTGGACGTAAGTATCAAAAATATTTTTAAATTTATTTTTGCCTAAGCATGGCTCTTCCATGCATAAAAATTGTTAACTAGATGTCTAATAATGTTTCTATTATTATTTCAGTTATGTGAGTTAAGAGACAACCAGTTGGACATGGCAGACTGTCTCCATGATATTGAGCACCGAATATACACCGTCACTGCAGAGTTGAATGCTGATGGTAAGCCATTTTAGATAACTCTTTTGTTTATTCTTTTATATATAACAGTAATATTATATTTAATATACAACATAAAACATTGATATTAAAGACTTTATTAAGATTTATATAATTAAATTCTCGTGCGAAGAAAAATTAATTAAGCAATCTATAGCTACTATTTCTCACAGATTTTTATAAAAGTAAATTAGACTTAGTTAGAAATTAATAGTTTGTCATTTACATATATCTTTATTGTCTCAGTAGACAGGATTAAATTCCTAATATCAAAATGTTCAGCAACTTTCCACCAGGTGGCGAGAATATATCTGAACAGGATAAGATAAAGAGACAACTCATGGAAGGCATGCTGAAGGAATTGGAGAGGTCCAAGTCCGTATATGAGGTTGGTTTTGTGTGATAATATATGTATAATAACACAATTAAGATTTTTTATTAAGTTTGATTTACACTGCACATGGTAAAAAAATATATCGAACCCAGACACGGAAAAACCATTTGTGGATCATAGAAAGTGTGGGAAAGCGATGCTTCGGCACGAATACCGACGTGAGTCAACCACAGCGTTGTGTTTCGCCGTGTGAGTGAGGTTTTTTTTTTTTACTTGCAATAAACCAGTGCTTGACTGCAATCCCACCTGATGTTAAGCAGTGATGCAATCGTTGATGGTAAGGCGCACTAGTTTATTAAGAGCCTATTCACTCTAGCCTTGAAGACACCTAAATTGTATTCGGACGGAAAGACTGCAGCCGGCAAACTGTTCCAATCCCTCGATGTACGCGGAGGTTACGGGATGCCCAATTCCCCCCCCCCCTTCTTTCCCCCATCTTTCCACAATCCTCAAAACCTCTTATCGCACTTGCAACTCCTCTGGTATTGCGGATGTCCTTGGGCGGCGCCGAGTACTTACCATCAAGTAATCCGTCTCCACGTTAGCTTGCGTATCACATAAATAAAGAAATAATGCAAGCAACAAAATCAGAATCATAGCACGTAGCGTTCTCGAGAGATGATCTCCGGCCACCGTAAGCGCGGGTCTGCGGTCACAGACGGGGCTCTATAGGGCTGATGTTCAGCCGGGGTTGCGCGGTAAGCGCAATGAGGTACCGCAACCTCGGCCCTGAGCAGGGAGCAAGAGTCTGCAAAAACGATTGCAGAATCCGAGCTATTACTACGTGTTTGTATTCTATGTGTTTCAGGAGAAACTAGAAGCAGGTGCCTTACAAATGGGTTGGGTGATAGGTGCGATATGGACCAAACAAAGACAGCTAGAGTTGGCGAAACATTTTTCAGGGACGCTGCACTCACTGAGACTGTCTTCTGACCCTGAATACGCGGCACACGTCCAAGTAATATTTTTGTTTTTAAACATTAATTTATAGTTGGGAGTCTGGAAAAGAGTTCGGTACGGTTTGACCCGCTGTTGAGCTCCATTTGATTGTAGCGTGATGTTTTATAGTCTATAGTACTCAGGAACATTGTAGCTATCTATCAATGAAAGAATTTTTGCAATCCGACCAGCGGTTTCAAAGTTTACCCCTACATACAAACTTACAAATTTACAAATTTTACCTCTTTATAATATTAGTATAGATAAAGGAATCCATTCATAAATAAAATAAATGTTTTTGGTTTTATTTTAGTCTCTTTCAAACTCCCAAATCGCATTCATCTTCTGTTATAATTTTTTTACCAGTATGCACAAGTAGCAAGTAAAGAGATACTTCCAGGCAAGAGTTCCTTACTGGGAGGCACCAGCTATGCGTCTCTACAGCTAGAGTACACATCCAGCTCCGATCAGAGGTGTGGCATTTTCTTTTATCACAAACTATTACCTTTGCTATCTTCTTCATCTTTATTTGGCACAACATTGGTTGTCATCAATAGCTTCACTAAGAGGACTGACCGACAGACTGACACAATATCTTCAAAATTTTCTTTGACGTTCAAAAGTGCCTGTGAGGGTCTAATTGGAATAAATGTTTTTTGACTTCTGACTTTTTGATTTTTTGACATCGATTCTTCTTATATGGTTGCCGATTTACGTTTATCAACCATCTTGTCTGATACCAACATATTTTCCAAACTCATTCGACAAGTTTTTACCTTGTCCGTTTTCTTCATACGCACATCCTATCTTCTTTCATACGTCTTAAATAAAGTTAACAGATCCTCAACTTACAGTCCTCAAAGTCCAACATCGAGGGCCGCTACACCATGTACAGGATCGAACTCACAAATGGAGACGTCGAATCGTAAGTAGAATACCTCCTTTCAGTATTTTACAAAGAGACTATGTTCTTCACAACCCCTTTTTTTATATTATTTCTTAACTGTTAGTATTATAAATCTGTCTCCTTATTCATTATTCGATTCGCCTTAGCTTCACATAGGCAATGTTCGATGTTATGTAAACATGTAAACGTTCCTCTTTAATTACTCTATCTATTAAAAAACCGCATGAAAATTGCGCAGTTTCAAAGATTTAACCATACATAAGGATATAGGGACAGAGAAAGCGACTTTGTTTCTTTCTATGTATGTTCTCGCCTTTGGCTGCTTGCCATCCGCGATTCGCTCTAGGGACCAATTGATTACCAGCGCACACATGTCTTCCACATGCTGATCCGATTTTAGTGCAGACTTCTACAGCTTAATACTCGGTTCTCGTACTATGATTTGTAGCGTTTGAAATTTAGAAAAATGTTTCCTTTTTCCTTCTTTATTATAAACGAATTGTTTATGTAGAAACTTTATCGGTGTCCTCGTTAACCTAGACCTAACTCGTAAATATCTTCCTATTTCTTCTTGTTTATTTGCGCACGGTCTCACCCAAATACTACTGAATATTTTTTATCGAAACATTGACCTTCAAGTTACTTTTGAAAGCCTGTCAGCAGCATTCGGCAAGGCTTAGATCAGGGAAGGCTACTTCAATACACCGCATATTATGGATTAGATACAGGTGGTCAAGAATTTGCAGAGTCACTATTTGCCTTCGTGCCTGAATACCACGTGGATGCCATGCTGGAGCTCTGCAACACCTTGAGGCTGTACATGCATCCCACGATACCAGTCCAGCAGATACCAGGTGAGGCCAGAAGTAGGAGTAGATACTGTGAAACTAAAGGCTGGTAGACTGTGCAGAGGAATTTAAATTTACAATAGAATTTGATTTTTGTGCTTCTCTTTTTATGTTATCTTACCGGCTTCGTGTAGTTGTTTTTATATATAGTTTCGACGTGTAAAAGTGATGTTTTATTGCTTATTTGCAAAAATAAATTCATCTTTTCAGTGTTTCATTTATGCAATTTCGAATGGTAGCTAACATTTCGTATAAAAACTTTTGTATCAATTGCGGTTTTAGCCGATTCTGTAGTCTTCCTTATACTACAAAAACCATATTCCTTAAAATTTTCAAATTATTCTATTAGCAATTTATAACTTGACTTATTTATACAATTCAAGTCGCATAGAATACTCGACTAATACCTGTTTTCTCTTAGAATGGGAGGAGCTTGTGGTGTCTTGTGCCGCGTTCCTATGTGCCGAGTTTGCAGACCAGCGCATCGTTTTGGCCAGTACCAGAGAATCCTTGGTCCAAACACTAGCCTCGTTTGCTACACAACCAGCTACTATGAGAGCTATCGAACGAGTGCCTATAAAACAGTGAGTAGATAGCACCAAAAATAACTATTATTAAGGCAGGTGAGCAAAATGGATCACCTAATAGTAATGCTAGGTTGGGATACTGCGCGAAACAACAATTTGTCCGGGTGTATCATATCTGACTCCAAATTTGAGCTTCTTGGCTTAACTCTGACGCTCATTCTTAACTTTCTCAATGCTGAATCTATACCGAGTGCAAGATCGGTCCTGTTGGAGGCTCTCATCTTTTGTTTGGCTTGCGACATTGTATATTTTATTACACACACATGACAAAAGAACCAAATCCTAGTGAAGGATGGCACGAACGAGTCGGCTCGACCGGAGTGATACCAGGGCCTAACAAAAAACCGGTATGAAACAACCACTGCCTTGTGTTCGCCTGCTGAGTGTGGTTACCGGAGGCCCAATCCCACTCCCCCACTCATCTCCCTACTTCCCCTCCCCCATCCCTTCCCAATCCGTAAATATCCGAAACCCTTATCCCCAAAAGGCCCGCAGCGCACACAGCGTACCTATGGGCGGCTCGTAATCATAATGCTCGTTTGCCTTCACATAAAAAAAAGATGGCCAAAGTCGCAAGCCAAAAAAAAGACGCTCGCGCCTTTTAGGCGCGAGCGTCTTTTTTTTATTTTGATCTTTTTTTTGGTCTTTTTTTTCGTCGTCCATAGATACTCGCAAAACTAGAGGTTACAAGTAACAAGTTGACTAATCACTTGATTGTCAGCAATCAGTCCCAGCCGCCCACCAAAGAAGTTCGAAAGGCGTCGATTGCCTTCTTCTTCATCGCTTTCGCGGTCTAAGAACACAACTCATTACTTTTTATACTTTTAGACAAATGTGTATGGTGGAGGAGTTGGTGCGTCCGTACCAGAACCGTGCGTGGGCGCAGTCCAACTGGGTGCTTGTACGATTTTGGCACGGCTCAGGGTTTGGTTTTCGACATCGACAGTGGCCCCATTTAGCAGCCAGGTAATAATCAAGTATACTTTATTATCTGTCCTATCCTATAGTATCGAGTTTGGAATGTTAACTTTGGTATAAAACGGCATATTTTCTGCGTTGAACCTGCTTGTAAACTAATTAATACTAATTATGAAAATAAAACTAGAATATAGATTGAATAGAATTTTTGAGGTAAACGGTTGTGGTGGCTTTAACTATTGATTTGTGTACTGCTTTCATTTATACATGACATAATGCTTCCCTCTCTTTCAATCACATACACTGATTGTCATATGGATGGACAGGAACTGTCAGAACTCAAATTCTTGTGAAAAAGCACTGCACCCCGAGCGAACGCCGGCGTTCGTGCACCTATTGTATTTCTATTGTGTCTCATATTACTACCAAAAATTGTAATTAAGAATTTAGTGTTATCCCATAGGTACGGTGACAGAGAACCAACAGTCAACAACCTCGGAGCCAAAGTGGATGCAGGACTAATGAGCCAGTGTTTCGGTCAGTTCATTTTACGCACACTACAATAGTAAACTAATATTATTTTGAATAGCAACTTTAATAAACTGCTTTTAAGTTTCTTTAATATTATTCATCGAAATAATACAACAAATGTATTTAACAGTTATTGACCATAAGCATTTACTTTCAAATCCTGAACCATCAGCATCAGCATGAAAATTTCCTTTTAAAAGCCTTCCTTTAAAAAGTTGATGAATTCTTTTAGCACAACAACTTTTATTATTATTTCGCATTTTTTTAGGTTCGGATATGCATGCCGGCCGTCGTTTAGATTTAATAATGTTGAAATGGAGTGACTTTTCTACCTTGTACACAAAAATGGATTCATTCGTTTTTATTTTTTAATAATTTTAAAGCTTTTCCTTATTGAAACATGACGTTACTATATCTAGCTTTTATTTTGAAGGTCCCTGTCCGTCAGAGGTGATTCAGACTCGGATAAAGGAATACCTCTCTAGTCACCCAACCGCTGCAGCCGCCTACCTGAACTCGTTGCTCAGTCAGCTTAACTGGGCATTTTCAGAGTTCATCACTATGATGCAAGAGGTAATATAATTTTAAAGGGATGTTAGCGAAGATTGTATTTTATTTGAACCGTGCAAACATGTTGCGATAGTGCAGTGCAGCCAGTTCTCAAGAAAAACTCCTCAACAAAAGAGTCGAAATATTCTTTCAAACAAGTTACAGGTATATACCACGATTGCTGGACAATACCGGTTTTGAATAATAATAAATACATTATATTACATTATTAGACATATGTGGACAAATAATGTTTTAGTCTACAATTGCTTATGAGAATATAGAAACAATTTTTGTATCTTACCTATCGTATCGTAGCGTTCCGCGCGCGCCTAATGGAGCCAAATTGCGGTATGTTATAGGGTAGGTTCAATAGGGCTGATTTTCAACCGGGCTTTGCGGGTTCAAACGCAAAAATGTACCGCGGCTCAGGCCTGGAGCAGGAGAATGAACGGGGATGGCTTTAGTCAGTAGAAATCTAACACTCTCTCTCGACCCACCTAGGGCGGAAGAAGTCATTTTATGATTCTCCCCAAACAAAAAAACCACAACATAAACAGTCCCGTTGAGACAAAAGGTTGTTTTTCCGGCGGTGCCTCATTGCGCTTACCCCGCAATCCCGACTAAACATCAGCCCTATGGGGCCCCGTCTCTGGATGTTTTGGTTGTCCCCACAGAGGCATAAAACTAGCAGAGCTTGTTTCAGTTCAGACTAATTCAGATAAAGTAGTTAATTCAGTAAGCTATATGCAAAGTGTACTCCTACATCTATTAATTATCGTTTTTTTTTTGTGGTATAAGTCGGCAAACGAACAGACGGAATACCTGATGGTAAGCAATCGGCGCCCACCCGCATCACCAAAGGAGTTACGAGTGCGTTGCCGGCCTTTTGGAGATAGGGGTTGTGGATATAAGGATTGGGAAGGGCTCGTTACATAGGTACCTAAGCCCCAAAAAGAATTAAAACGTTCTAGTACTACTTCTTTAAGTTATGTGTTTTTCTAGATGGACCGTGTTAGCGTAGACGCACATCTAGAATCCAGACATATAAAACTATGTGCAACGTGTTTCGATTTGTACCACGGGCTAGCCAGAGCACTGGAGATGACGCTTCACCTCGCCCCCTTACTGCTAAGCAAACCAGAGGCTTGTGACAACCAGAATGAATTATTACTCGGTAGAACATGCCAGGTAAGAATAGAAGTAAATTTTGTACCAAGATGTTTTGGGCATAGTACTTATGAGCTACAACTTGACACAACTATAGTCCACGCTTTTTCTGAAGTAATAAATTGAAATATAAACTTTGCTGATCATACACCAAACTGCTGACATTGAAACAAGCATGCCAAAAATTTTACTTTAATATTAGGTATTGAAAAGTTTTGATAGGTACTCCCACAAAAAAAATAAGTTAAACGATCAGGTAACTTGCTAAATTGTAGTCGGCAATAGCTAAACTGAGCACAATTAGATACTCGACAACTACCTATTACCCTTCAATAGTTTTTTCAAATTTGAAATTCGAATTTCTTTCATGAGCTCGACTTTAATGCTATATTTTACGTCACGACGTGCACAGAAATCGATTATATATCGAACGTTATTTATTTTCAGATTTATTACCGAGATATTTATTTTAAAATATGTTAAAAAGTACTAAACTAAGTATGTATAACGCCCAATCAAATAATGAGTGTGATATTTTTTTGAATATTTGATTGGATTGAAAATTCGTAATGAATATTTTTTGTTAAATCAAATACTCAATTACATATCGAGAAGGCACTCCATTACCTTAGCTTGGGTCTCCCACATACGCTAAACTACTACTTACTAATTTTGGGACCTTACAAACCCGACACCCAATTTGTTTCAGATCTTAATGGCAGTGGTATCAAGAGTATGTATCCGGGGGGGTGGTGGGGCTAGTTTCGCCCGTTTGGTATCCCGCGGCCTGCCTGACACGGACCGGGTACATTACTACGTGGCCCTCGCTCCAGTGGCTGGCTGTCTTATACAAATGCTAGACTCAAAACTGCCGCCCGAAGTAAGCTTTACTGGCCTTTAAAATATAGCAGTCAAATCAATGTCGAAGCTTTATCGTCCTCAACTAACCAATTTTTTTTTATGTGATAAGACGGCAAACGAGCAGACGGATTACCTGATGGTTAGCAATCGGCGTCGCACATGGACACCCGCAGCAAAGAAGGAGTTACGAGTGCGTTGCCGACCTTTTAAGGATTGGGATTTTGGGGATTTAGGGATTGGGAAGGGATTGGGGTAGGGAAAGGATTGGGCCTCCGGTAACCTCACTCACATGGCGAAACACAACGTTGTGGTTTTTTACCTTTGATTATGTATCTATTTTAGTTTGGTGATTACTCTGTAATAGGAATACTTTATATTACTATGCTAGGTGTTATGCTAGAAGTGTGGATACAACTTTTTCATCTGGAAAAGTTGGGCGTATTTGTAACAATTTTGAATTGTTTTTATTTTGCTATATGATTTCCCATTAGACAGTAATAATAAAAAGTGAAGAACAATATTGTGAGGAAACCTTGTTATAATTTCTAATAATAAGTATGAAATTACTAGAGATGCACCGAATATTCGGTTTCTATCCGGTATCCGGCTTATCCGGCCCTTTTTTACTATCCGGCCGGATACCGGATGGTAATGTACTATCAGGCCGGATACCGGATAGTAAACTTGATAGATTTTATAAATAGAATCTAAATAAAGACACAGTTGTAATTGAAGCTTTCTATTATTTTAAACAGCTTTAACTTTTTATAATAAACCAATTATTTAAAGTAACTTGGTGATAATACTGATAGTTAAAAAATGTACTTATTTGTAACTAGTAAGTAATAATAATATTAATTAATTTAATATTGGAAATCCACCAAAGGTAAATTATGATGTATAAAAACAAGATTTTCAGCATTTTTAGGAAGCAAACGATTCCTCTTGTTTTCATATACAAGCCCAGCCTCTGAAAACAGTCTCTCGCTGTACACACTGCTACATGGGGAAGAGAGATATATTTGGGCAAATTTAACCAAAATCGGGAATTGTTTGGCGTTTGCTGCCCACCATGCGTAAGGGTCACTTTTTCGATCAAGAGGAACCATTTTTAAGTAAAAGTCAAGCTCATTGGCTATAGCAGTATTATCAGAGTCTTCAGTTTGATTGTTATCTTTGACAACTTCATTAAAACAGTCCCAAAATGAATCATGAACACTCATGGAACTGCCTGCTCTTTTCTTCAATGGAGGTGAATCGCCTCCACTGCTGGATGCATCCTCTTCACCGCAACTCAGTTTTAGACCCTCCAATAAGAGGCTTTGGCGAGCCTTTTCTGCTTGTATTACCCCAAAAAAATTAGTCTTGAACCTGGGATCCAATAACGTAGCCAGGAAATACTTTAAATTTTCATCAAGATGTTCGAAGCGTTGTTGCAATTGAGTTTTTAGGGACGTTAGAAATTGCAATAAGTTAGGGACTTTGCGTGAAGTTTCTTCCTTTTGAATGTACCTCATCAAAACTGCTACATGTGGTATAACTTCTGAAATGCACGACAGACCTGAGCTCGTGATCTTCGTTATTTCCTCGAACGGTTTGAGGAGAATGATGCATTGCTCCATTAAATTCCATTGCTGAGGAGTCAAGTTGCCGAGTTTATTGTGGTCGGCAATATACAGAGAAACAGCTCGTCTCTGTTCTAGCAGCCGCTCTTGTAAATAGTACGTCGAGTTCCAACGTGTACTGATATCTTGTACCAACCGATGTTCCGGTAACTTTAACTCTTTTTGAATTGCCTTCAGTTTCTCTTGTGCTAATGCTGAATGATTAAAATGAGTTACGATGCGTCTTGCGGCATTCAGCATCTCTACTAAATCAGGTTGAGTTTTAAGTGATTCAGTAATGACCCGCTGGAGAGAGTGAATAAAACACCTAGCTGAATCGTATTCAGCCACTTGAACTCCTTTTACCATATTAGCCCCACTATCGTGTACAATAATATGTATTTTATTGAACGGAATATTCCACCGTGCAGCAATAATGTTAAGCTCGTTTGCTATGTTCTCTCCGGTGTGAGACCCTGAAAAGGGCTTCATTGCCAAAACGCCATGTTCCAGTTTGAAATCTGGGGATATCCAATGGGCGGTGAAGCTCAGAAAACTTTCATTATTGTGGTCACAAGTCCATATATCTGACGTAATGGAAACAGCTGCAGCGTTTAAAATTTTTTCCATAATTTTCTTGATAATTCGATCGTATATGTCCGGTATTATTTTTTCAGTCATATAAGTGCGACTGGGCAACTTGTACCTCGGTACCGCTTTTTGCATGAGCCTATTAAATCCAACTCGGTCAACAATGGATAGTGGTTCGTTATCCAACGCGATCATTTCGCCAATCAAATAGTGAAATTCCTGTGATTTCGAATCATTTATCCCCCAATATTGTTTTCGCTCAACAGTTTCAGCTAAAGTCAATTGCTTTTGCAAGGACGGTTGAGAAGCCGTGGTACAAGTACTTGCAGTTGAGCTCGTAGAAATAGCAGGTACAACACATGAGGACGAACCACCATAAATTTCACTAAACTTATCAGGATGCTTGGCTTTCAAGTGGTTTTTCATGCACGAGGTTCCAGCTTTTTTTCCCTCTCCGCCACGTGAAACTTTTAGTTTGCAGATTAAACAAATAGCGTATTTAGCTTCTTCTTTGTCTATCTCAAAATAATTCCAAAGCGGAGATCTTGTTGCCATTTTTTATAAACACACTAATGACACAGTAGGTAAATGTTAATTAATACAAAACCACTAAGTATCACACGATAACACCACAAACTTATTTTATTATCTAAAAATACGCGAGCGTACAAACGAAATTGTTTCGTGCTGACTGACACGATAAAAGTGTCTCTACCAAGAACTGTGACCGCGCGAACGTTCACTACGAAACAAGTCAAAACCTGCACGGCGCGGGCGGCGTGCCGGTGCGCGACACGCACCTACGAAACTCAAAATGCCGCCGGCCGAATATTCGGCGGCCGGATACCGAACATTCGGCTGGTGGTCAGGCCGAACATCCGGTATCCGGTATCTGGCCAAACAACTATTCGTTGCATCTCTAGAAATTACCTATCCGCCTTGAGCAAGCGTGGTGATTGATGCTTACACCCTTCAACGTGTGATAAGAGGCCTTTACTCAGCAGCGGGAACTTTAGGTTGATGATGGTAAATTGATCGTAAGTGGGAAATCACATATTATTAAAACAAAAATTGGTTATAACTCCTCACTCGATACGGATTACCCTAACTTTTCCCGGTGTAAACAAGGACAGCCTGTATACTTAAGACTTATTCGCTAAATCTTATTTATTTTAGCATTTAGATCGGGTGACGAAAGCGTTGGTAATGGAACCGCTGTTCAGAATGGATGGCCTCGATCTTATGTTAGGCAAATCCAAAGAAAGTAAAATATTTTCATTTTACAAATGTAAGTACTATGTCGTATTTTTCTTCTGATTCGAATGTTACCTATTCATAAAATAAGATATTGACAGCTTAATAAAACTATTTCTTGCTTACTAAGTTACTAAGAAGTTTACCAAAAAGGCTGTCTGAAGATCCTTATAGTGTAATTTTATGACAAAAAAAAACAAAAAATGGATAAATTAATAGATGAAACGACGAAATTGCCAGAGTCTCTGCGATGAGGATGATGCTGATGATGAATATCTAATTATTAATTATTTTTTTATGTAATACGACGACAAACCATTAGACTGATTACCTTATGGTAAGCAATCAGCGCCTCCCATGGACATCGCAACAAGGAGGAGTTACAAGTTACCGACCATTCAGGGATTGGGTAGGGATTGATGGAGGGAAAACATTGGACCTCCGGTAACCTCCACACGGCGAAACACAATGCTGTAGTTGTTTACATCGTTTTCTGTCAGGCCCTGGTATCACACACGCCGACAAAACTCCGGATTGTTTAAATTAAACAACACTTATTATTAATTGTGTGCATTTTAGATCCAGATGATGTGACAACAGACGAGTTAAAAGCTTTAGAAATAGTAGCAGACAGACTTCGTGTAGCAAGGGATGCAGTCGTCAGGACGAAGTCCCCGGGTTCCAGCGGGGCGCAGTCCGATCTTTTGTGTACCATCTGCTACGCTAGACCTGCGGATACGGCCTTTGTGCCATGCGGACATCATTCTTGCAGGTATTTTGAAGCAACAATTAAAATATAATTGCTACAATTTTTTTTTCTGGTGCAACCCAGCAGACGAGCGGGCCTAATACACAATACCGGGGTTTGTTTTATGTGAAAGCTCGATAAACGGGCAGAAGTACCACCTGATAGTAAGCAATCAGCACCGCCAATGGTCACCCGCAACACCAGAGAAGTTACGAGTTGCTGTTACGTTGTTACGTTGCTGACCTTATGGGGATTAGGGATTTAGGGATTGAGGGAGAGGAAGGATTGAACCCTTGGTAACCTCACACGGCGAAACACAACGCTGTGGTTGTTTCACGCTGGTTTTCTGTGAAGCCCATTCGGGCCGAAGCATGGCTCTCTCACATTGATTCTCGGGTACGCAAATAGCGCCGCCTATGGACATCTGCAACACTACAGGAGTTACACGTGGGAATTAAAGTTAAGGAGATTTAGGGCCAGGAGGGAGAAGGGGATTTAGGGAGAGCCATGCTTCGGCACGAATTGGTCGGCTCGACCGGAGTGATACCACGGCCTCACAGAAAACTGGCGTGAAACAACCACGGCGTTGTGTTTCGCCGTGTGAGTTACCGGAGGCTTAATCCTTCCTCTCCCCCAATCCCTAAATCTCCAAATTTCTAATCCCTAAAAGGTCAGAACGCACTCGTAACTCCTTCGTTGCGGGTGTCCATGGGCGGCGCTGATTACTTACCATCCGTCTGATCGTTTGCCGATCTATTACATAAAAAAAGGAAGGATGCCTCACCAACACGGCGAAATACAATGCTGTGGACGTTTCACATTGGTTTTTTTTATGCGCCTTTTCATGCCCATTTCATTTTATACATATCATTTTTTTTCAGAGCTTGTATAATGCAGCACCTTCTGAACAGTAAACAGTGCTTCTTCTGCAAGGCAGACATTGAAACTGTCCGCGAAATAGAACCCGCCAACAATTGACGCCATCTTGTTACGTCCTCAAAAATGGCGCTGGATCTTTGTTAAATTTAAATCTATAGAAATCTTAGCCATCCTACATTGTTTTTATAAAATAAAGTATGGAGATAATATTTTGTATGTAATGATGATGTGTTTTTGGTATATTTTTATTAAATTATGATTTTATTCTTAGTAACTTGATTTTTATTTTGCAATTTTAACCGCTATACATTTCCAAATAAAAAAATTGTTTGATAAAAAAAAGATTGACACTTCAGTGATTTGAGATATTTTATTAAGTACGAGTATTTTACAATATTTTTAATCTGGCCCTTTGTTGAGTCCTTGTGGGGAATATGCGTAGTATGCCATTGGACAATCGCAGGTTCCACGAAGTCCTGGATGGCCGCGGGGACCAATTGGACCTAAGGAAATGTCAAGTTTTAGTAATGTCATTTAACATAATTATCATCATATTATAACGAGATCTTTCTGCCCTTTTCATTCCCCTTACCTTCTCGCCCAGGGTCACCCCTGCTTCCAGTTCTGCCCGGGTATCCTGGGGGACCAACTGGACCTGAAGACATTAATAGATAATAAAGTGGTGGATGGTGATGAATATAATGTGAATATTTCACAAGAAACTGGTATAGTGTAAACAGATGGAATCAGTATTTCAATCTGAATATTTTTCGAAAGTATGTATGTCTTTTTTCAACCAGGGTAGCGGGATAAGAGACATAAGGTACCGCTGCCTCGGCTTGGAGCAGGAGAAGGAACAGAGAGCGTTTTTAGTCAGTAAGAGTCTGACACTCCCTTTGGCCAAGAGAATAAAAATAATAAATAATTTTCACTCCTCAAAACTAGCTGTGTTTTTTTTATATCCGTCACTCCGAATAGGATCTACTAGCTACAGTCTCATACACATTAACTTTTCTAAATTTCCAAAACTTACGTTAAACTTTGTGCGACATTATTATCAACTCCGAACCTTACCAGTATGCAAGCAAGAATGTGCCCTACAATTTTGTTATGTAGGTACCCTATATTTACGAATTCGTAAATATAGGGCTTTAAATATGAGCTTAAAATTAAAATTTAATTCATTATTATTGTTATTTACATGTACTTGCATTTATTAGTGAAACAGATTTTTTATAAGTTATTCCGTTCTAATAGATATTACCAAAGAGTATACGTTACCAATTTGTCCCCGTGGTCCTTCTGGTCCTTGGACCCCGATACCTTGTGGGCCCCTCTCGCCTTTGTCTCCTTTCTGCCCAGATGGGCCCATGCTGCCAGGTTTACCCGGGTCCCCTGTTTCGCCCGGATATCCTCTGGGACCCGGCTCTCCTGAGAGGCCTGGTATTCCTACAAAATTTTAACACACCAATTAATAGATAATTACATTTGAAACCAAACAAAATATAGTAAAATACGTAGTCATCTTGGCACAAGGTCGTTCGCAGCTCATGATTATGAGCCCCTTGAGAGAAAACTGATCGAGCATCTTAGAACTGTTAACGTGATTAAGAAATATAATATATTTTAAATAATTTTGTAGCTCAACAAAATAATATGTTATTATTGTGATTTTAAAACATTTACTTGTATTTATGTCTATGTGATTAAGGGCTGATTATTCACCGGTTAGATAAAAGTTGCCTGGGAAATAGTTATGATGCTGTCGCATCAGAATGTTTATATAAGACAGTGACAGCAACAATTTTATTGCTCAAATAGCATTTATGTGACTATTGAAAAATCAACCAAATTAAGTTATTTTTTACCTGGTGGTCCTGGTGGGCCTGGCCGGCCTGGATGACCTCTCTTGCCTACTACCGTTGGAGGCACCAATATTTGATTCGAAGAAAATTCGTTGAGTCGCACTGTTAAAAAAAACATTATGACATAAGCTCCATTCAAAATGCAACAAAATGCAATCTCAATTTTTTATGTGATGATTGATCGGCAAACGAGCAAAGCGTAAGCAATCGACGCCGCCCATAAACATCCGTTACAGGACTAACGAGTGCATTGCCGGCCTCTAAGGTATTAGACAAGGATGTAGGGAGTTAAAGGATCACTCACTTGCGAAACACAACGCTCTGGTTGTTTCATGCCGGTTTTTTGTGAGGCCGTGATATCACTTAAGGTAATAAAAACATCGTAGGATATATATTTTTATAGTTTAAAAGTATCAATATGTCTACGTATACTTACTTTTTATAACATCTTCACAAATATTCCTTATTTCAGCTTCAGATATTGAAGGAGCCTGAAAATATCAATTTAATATCAATCAATTAGATTTTTTAAAAGAATTGAACTATATAGCTTATGAAGGTATGTAACCATGAAGGTTCATACACTTGTCACAAACCTAAGTCTTCCTGCTGGTATCGCAAGTATAAATATACTATGTGACTGCATACATTTGAAACAAAGACTAGTCTTTAGCGCATTTTGATAAACCTGAACCTTTTAAACCAAGATCTCTAACGCCTGCCAAACGTGAAGATGGCAAATCCCTCTCATTTAGAAAAGACTCACTGGGCAGTGGGTCGGTGGAGAGAGCATCAACAATAACTGCTGTTGATGCACTTAATATGAAGGACTTTCCCTTTCTTTCTTTCTTTCTTTTAAGACACATATTAAAGTTTCGCCTTGTCTGGTAATTTTACTATATTAGGTACCTCCCGCACGATACTAGGTGGTGCTGGTATTCCAGGCAGCCCAGGTGGTCCTCTCTGACCGGGGAGCCCATCCAACCCTGCTGGACCAGGGAGCCCTGGAAAACCTTGCTCGCCTCTCTGTAAACAAACTTAACAACTTTAACCGAACAAATATTTTTCACGTATGTAAGAAATGTTGCAAGAATGGACAGGTAGCCACAGAAAACGGTGTGAAAGAATCGTCAGGATTATTAGTGTGAATTACAACAAGTTGAATTTTCTTGTCAAATTAACGAGCTATATTGGTCCAATCGCACTTTTATGTGACAGCAAACTAAATTTTAACCAAGATAACAAAACAACATTGATTTATAAATTACTAGCTATCGTAGACTTACCTCTCCCTTGGGCCCCATAAGGCCCGGAGGTCCGGGTATGGGCAGCATTGGTGTTGAATCAGCGGTCCCCGGCCGACCGGGCGGGCCAGGTAGACCCGGCAACCCTGGTGGACCTATTGGACCCTAAAAAGAATTTCAACACAAAAAATGTATAAAGTGGCCACAGTCTAGCATTTTTTCTATATTGTGAGTCTATTTTAAACATACGATTTAAAGAGTTATTTCTTAACCATTATAGAAACCATAGTGATAGTTACTACATTAATAAATAAATACCGGTAGTCCATCAAGTCCTGATTTCCCCGTGGGGCCCGGTTGGCCAGGTGGGCCCATGTTACCGGGCAAACCATTAGCACCAGGGAATCCTTGTGGTCCTGGGGGCCCCTGTAAAAAATAATGTACAATTATTATTTAATTTTCTTTACAATTTGTCACCAAACACTGTTTTTATGAGAAAGAAAAAATATATTCTTTTATAACAATATTCTTGGAAAATTGTAAAATCAACATCCACGCGTGTGGTGCCGTGGGCGACTGCTAATTAAATCTAAGACAGGTTCTAATTTCCGTGTAAATTGAAGGTCTTTATACTACAACTCGTAATGTGAGTCTGGTGGGAGACTACGAGTGCCTCTTGTTTTCAGTCCGTATTTTCGATCACCCCATTATGGAAATTTTTGTTCATTCTTCTCCGCTCGAATCTACACTTTGGACTAGACTAGACTAGCACCAGACAAACATTTCTTAAAAAACCAACCATGTCTTACAATTAATGCCTAAGTCAAGCAATTCATTCACAACTAAAATATGTAATTATTTGAAGAAATTAGATAAAATTACTCTCATGCCGTCGTGTCCCGGTGGTCCAGGAGGGCCTATGAAGCCGTCTCTGCCATCCCGACCCGGTGCGCCTTTGTCACCCTTTGCTCCTGAAAAAAATATTAAAATATTTACATGCTTTTTTTACATGTTTAAGTGTGGGAGAGCCATGCTTCGGCACGAATGGGTCGGCTCGACCGGAGTGATACCACGGCCTCACAGAAAACCGGCGTGAAATAACCACTGCGTTGTGTTTCGCCGTGTGAGTGAGGTTACCGGAGGCCCAATCCTTCCCCTTCCTCAATACCTAAATCTCCAAATCCCTAATCCCTAAAAGGTCGGCAACGCACTCGTAACTCCTCCGTTGCGAATGTCCATGGGCGGCGCTGATTGCTTACCATCAGGTAATCCGTCTGCTCGTTTGCCGACCTATTACATAAAAAAAAAATGTTTTGTTTTCTCGCCAGTACCTACTATGAGCTTCCCTAAAAATATATTTTCAACATTATAGCAGAATAATAATAAGGTTTGGTCTACAGTCTGCGCACGTTATTCAAAACAAATTCGCTATTTATAACTGTGCAATAAAATAAAAAAGCAGTTTTAATAAGCGAAAATTTTATTTGAGAAGACCTTGTGCACACTATGACAATTACATATCGACTCTGGAGTAACAGGGTTAACAACACTAAGAATTAAATTTAAGTGTACCTATAATTGCCATGTTGTCAACAATAACTACTTAGATTTTTTTGTGGTTAGGAAATCATCAAACTATCTCTTGCCCTGAGCGTGGCAAGAGGAAGTGCCAGGCTCCTAGCTAGAAATCACTCCGTTCTTTCTCCTGCTCCAGGCTGAGGCCGCGGTACATTATTGCAATTGACCCGCAACCCTAGCTATATCTATTGATTGATTGAGGTTAGTTCCATAACCATGAAATAATTGATCATTCTCCTTTCCGAAATACAATCACAAGAATATTCAAACAATTAAACATACATTAAATTACACAAAGAAAAGCAAATCACAAGAATACCTACCATGAATCAGCGAAGCATTGATAGCGCTAGTGGGGCCCGGTGGTCCTGGGAAGCCACGGGCTCCAGGGGGTCCTACGGGCCCCGGGGGCCCAGGTAAACCCTGATAAATTCATTAAAAAAGTAATATTATTTCTCAGATTGAGATTTTTTCTGTAATATAGTTTATAAGTTAAGGTAAGAACTCACATCTTTGCCATCAGCACCTGGGACTCCTGCGAGGCCAACCAACCCAACGTCACCCGGTTCACCTAAAACGATTCAATTATAAACAAGATTATTATGCATTACTTTGGATAATCAGATGGACTGCCTTTTTATGCCCCGTAACTTACTCATTGTTTTGGCACCAATGGACTGACTCAACCAGTGTTACTTTAGCCTCACAGGCACAGGAAACGGTATGAAACAACAGGCAGGATTCCTGGTGTGACTTACAACCAGTTGAATTTCCCCAAATATTTACCTCTACAGTCTTTTTAGATTAAGTATGAAACTCCAATAATTACTACTTGTTCTTCAAAAAGTCTCTTTCTAAAATTTTACAAATCGGCTTTCTAATTATGTAATGAACGGTAACTTAATACGAATTAAACCGGCGTGAAACAACCACAGTGATGTGTTTTGTAAGGCAAACTCTCCCCAATACCTAAATCTTCGAAACCCTAATCCTCATAAGGCCAGCGACGCACTCGTACTTCCTCTGGTGCTGTGGGTATCCATAGGCGGTTCCGATTGCTTACCACCAAGTAACCCGTTCATTGTCCTATCAAATTAAGCAAAAAAACTCAAAATACCAGAAATCCCTTTCATTTTTCAAACAAGCAAATTATGCTCCTAAATGACCACACTACCAATAGAGCGATTTGATTTGATTCCGCCATCCCAATTTCACCTTCGGACATCCCGGCGTACGGCGAATATCCACCCCTACGTTGTTGAGACACCTGCGGCCCGGACTAAGCGTTTTGCCTCGTCATTTATACCGCGTACATCGAGGGATTGGAACAGTTTGCCGGCTGCAGTCTTTCCGTCCGAATACAATTTAGGTGTCTTCAAGACTAGAGTGAATAGGCTCTTAATAAACTAGTGCGCCTTACCATCAACGATTGCATCACTGCTTAACATCAGGTGGGATCGCAGTCAAGCACTGGTTTATTGCAAATAAAAAAAAAAAAAAAAAAAAAAAAGAGCAATCAGTTAAAAATTTGAGTAGAAAACTGATAATTTCATAGAAAGTCGTACCTTTTTGGCCAATATCTCCTTTGTCTCCCTTTAGTCCACGACGACCGGGCTCCCCTGGTGGTCCGACATAACCCGGACCTGAAACCTTTAACAATCCACGATATACATACAACATACGTATCAGGAGTCTATATGTAACAGCCAACTGGTTAAAATAGCCGTTCAATCAATCAGCTAGCCCTTTGATTGCAGTACACTGTACAATTTGAGTTATTTGCCATCGCGATTCGATTGTTGTGCTGAATGAGAAATTTAGCGATTAAATCAAAAGTCTAGTCATTTAGGTCTTTGGTTGGATGGCTGATTAAACTATTTGTCTGAGACATATAGATTTTTCAGACTTAACCTACGGGGAATTGGACTCAAAGAAATATAGAAGCTATTGAAGAGAAGCTTAATTACTTTGATATCCATATCTTTTTTAAAATTAGTGAACTCAGCTTTAGTGAGAATTCTATATCAATAAATATAATTTAGTCGTCCAGATAGATATTGAAATAATGGTAGACATGTATTTTTGTGGTAAATTGTAGAAATAATAATTAAATAAAATTAATTCAAATTAAATACTAAAACTGTTTGAATTTAAAATGAAAACCGCTCCCTATATTAATTATTAAACATGTGCATTTTTTAAAAAATGCTAAAACTGATTTAAACAAAAAATCATCATTGTTCCCATTTTTTAAACTAGCTTAATTCTTTTTACGAAAAAACAAAAAGCACACATAAAAAAAAAATTATGTACTTACATTAACAATGGGGCCCGGAGGACCCGGGTCGCCTCTATCCCCTTTCAGTCCGGGCAAACCCGGTACCCCGGTATCACCTTTCACACCGCGTATACCCTAAAAAGATATTTATTTTTTAACAAAACTAACACTGATAAAAAAATACCGTTGCCAAAGTTTCGGAGAGCAATCTGTTTAATGTGGGATAGCCATGCTTCGACACGAATGGGCCGACTCGACCGGAATGATACCAATGCCTCACAGAAAACTAGCATGAAACAACAATAATGTTGTATTTCGCCGTGTAAATGAGGTTACTGGAGGTCCAAACCTTTCCCAATCCCTTAATCTCCAAAGCCCCAAAAAGCCGGCAACGTACTTGTAACTCCCCAAGTGTTGAGCTTATCCATGGGCGGCGCTGATTGATTAACATCAGGTAATCCGTCTGCACGTTTGCCGTCTTAACATATAAAAAAAAGCGCTCTGCCTACGAAGCAAAACGTCCTGAGGGCTTGAGGGCATAGACAAATTAACAATTTAAAAACGATAACGAAGTTCAAAAAGACTAAAATGTATGAAAATAACATAAGATGCGTTAAGTCACGTGGTCAATTAATTCGCTATTGCAATTTCGTAAACAATGATTATTACAAACGCGCCTTATCCAGTAGTGAGCTTCCATGGACTGTTAAATATGTATGTATGTATGTGAACATAAGAATTTACTATTGCGACAATTTAAAGGCACAAAGCGCCTATGTATAATGTACCTGGGAGATCCTCAATCACTAAACACCACGGAAAATTAACTATTGTAATAGGACCTATGTGTGAGCTGCTTACTAGTTTCTATTATTACGCGTAGTTACTAATTAAGCCTAACGCTGGCACTGCACCAAATTATCAGCACTTGAAATTAATTTTCAAATTCTAAGGTTCTCACTTACGTATTTAGTTTACCACACCAATAAATGAATGAATATGCATTTTTTATTCATCCTTGTCTAAAGAATCTTGATAATGGTCAACATGATTTTCTTTTACACTCGTCTTCTGTTTTTTTTTTCTTTCTTGAGTAAAGAGCAATTTTTCACATAGTATGTCCTTGACCTTTATGAATGTAGACATTAGTCTTACCGGTATACCAGTGTATCCTCTTGGTCCTTGTTCTCCTTTAGGACCACGTGGTCCTTCGGGGCCCTGTAAACAAAGTATCAAAATTCGTATCCTAAAAATCTTTAGCCGTTAAATATAAACCAATTTTTTTTTTAGTTTGTCAATTATTAAGTTTCAATTGCCAAAAGTATTTTTTAAACTGATGTGGAGTGTATAAGTTTTTACAAAGCAGGTAAATCAGATGTCGTGAAAAAAACATAAATTATTACAGTCACTGACGCCCAATTTTATTTTATTTTACTGGTGATAATCAGCCAATACTTACTGCAGGACATGTCATATTGCAAGCAACGCCTTCGTTCGGATCTGCCAGTAATGCAGGATCCACGTCGTACTAGAAAACAAAATTATCACTTCACTATCTAAACTAATATTAAAAAGAGGTAGCATTTGTAAGTTTATTTGTAGGAGGTTATCGTTGGAACCGCTGATCGGATTTCCAAAAATCTTCACTGGTAAATAGTTACAATGTTACTTGGCGCGTTACGCTGAAACGGAGCCGAGCAGCGGGTGAGACCGCGTGAGAGCACCTAGTGACATATTATATAATTAAAATAATTGTTACCCGTATCTACACCTGTCTAGTTAAAGAAAAAAAGTAAGTTATAGCTCTTTATTGTCACACTAAATCAACAAAAACAAAAACATATGGGAAACCATTTCCTAAGACCCGGCTAAAGCCGACGCCGCGCTTATAACAAACGGATGCTCATAGGTGACGCCAATTGCTTACCATTGTTGCTTTTTGTTTGTTTTTCTTTTATTTAAAGTAGATTGATGAGAAGGACGTATAATCATATTTTTTGCTTACCTTTGGTGATGGTGTAGCTACTATAAATTGAGGCTTATCCTGAAAAAAAAAATGCATAAGTAAGTAACCTATCGATAATTATTTCTTTTCCTCATCATCATTTACGTTTTGAATTAACTATTTCAACTTCATTTAGGTACTTGGGAATTAAACCAAATTCAACACTTCAATCGAGCTCCTTCTCTTCCCCCCTCTCTCTTCCATCCCCTCTCACTTTCACTCTTTCTCACTTCCGCTCACTCCAGCTCATACACTCACTCCATCTCACTCTTTCTCATTTCCGCTCCTTCTTTCTCTTACTATTTCTTATATTATTTTATTATTATATACTTGAACACACTAGCAGCTTAGAAAGCTGATGCGTGCGTATTAAAGGATTTGGAGATTTTGTCGAGTCTGTTTTTAAAAGAATTAACTGTGGGTGCTTTTATCACATTTTCTGGGAGTTTATTCCATTCCGTGACCACCCTATTAGGTAGGAAGTGTGTCAAGGGATTCAGTTTTGAGGATGTTCTGCATAGTTTTAATGAGTGTCCTCTCAAATTTCGATTTTTATTAAGAAGATACATATTCTTAAGTCCAGGAACGTTGTAGCAGTCACTCATTATTTTGTAAGTCTCAATAAGGTTTCCTCTCTGTCTCCGCTTTTCAAGAGTGGTGAGGCCAAGTTCGTGCAGACGTTGGTCATAGGGTTTGTTTTTAAGCAATTTGACCATCTTGGTAGCTTTTCTCTGAACACTTTCTAAGAGTGTAATGTCTTTCTTAAAGTAGGGATCCCATATCACATAGGCGTACTCTACCAACGGCCTTATGTAGGTTTTATAAAGTTTCAAAAAGGTTTTTGGTGTGAGACACATAAATGATTTTCTGATGAGGTACAACATTGAATTTGCCTTCTTAACGATACTGGTAATATGTGTTTCCCATTTTAAGTCGCCGCTGATGGTAATGCCCAGATCTCTGTGTGCGTTTACCGGTGTCAACTGCTGCATTCCCAGATAGTAAGTTTTGCGAGGATTTTTGTTGCCGATATGTAGGACAGTACACTTTGTTGCATTTAAAGTCAATAAACAATTGTTGGTCCAATTGAGGATGGCGTCCAAGTCACTTTGAATAGTCTGGTATTGTTTGCTGGGGTCTCCAAAGAACTTGGTGTCATCAGCAAAGAGTGAAAATGGTAGCTGGAGCGTTTTCTTTAAGTCGGTCAAATACAGTATAAAAATCAGAGGCCCGAGAACCGATCCCTGAGGTACACCGCTTAATACAGGGTGAGCTTTTGATTTTACATCCCCGATTCGTACGCAAAATTTTCTATTGGATAAGAAGTTGCTAATCCAGTTTAGTATCTTTCCCCGTATTCCGAGGTGTTCAAGCTTATGCAGAAGTCGTCGTAAGGGTACACGATCAAAAGCCTTTTCATAGTCAAGGTAAATTACGTCTGTGGGATGGCCTGCATCGTGATTCCTTACCCAATCATTAATACACCTGAGGAGGTTGGTTGTTACTGACCGCTTTGGAACAAAACCATTCTGTTCATCCAGAATTACTTGCTCTTGTGATAAAAATTGCCTTAGTTTATCGGCAATAATTTTCTCCATACATTTGCATATCACACTTGTTAAACTTATTGGTCTATAATTGACAGGAGACAATTTATCACCTTTCTTGTATATGGGCACAACAATGGCGGTCTTCCAGTCGTCTGGAACGAGTCCAGTGTCTAAAGAAGAATTCATTATTTTTGTAATGTTTTCAGCCAATGCTATCGAACACTTCTTTAGCAATATGGAAGGGATGTCATCCGGTCCTGTATCTGTTGCATCATCAAAAGTAAGCATTGTCTTTCGAACCATATCAACAGTGATCGCAATATTATCAAAAGATGCCTCGACTCTAGGTATGTCAATGTGTGGTAGAGGTCCATCGGGTTCTCTAGCAAAACTCAGCTCAAATTGGTCTGCGAATAAGTTTGCAACTCCAGATGGGTCCGTTATTAAATCATTTGTACAATTTTTCAAGACTGTTGGAATGCAGACTTTGGAATTCAATTGTTTTCTTATGTAACTGTAGAAAGCTTTAGGTCCTGTGTCAATAACATTAGCTTCAAAGTGGGCTCTTCTTGTTCTCGTTAGCTGGACAATTTTATTGTTCACCTCTCTGTATTCACGGTACATATTTTCTGATTTACCTATTCTGTATATTCTCCAGAGTTCCTTCTTATGTACGGTTAGATCCAAAATTTCTTTGTTAATCCAAGGTTTATAGAATCGTTTGTTTTTGTATTTACGTTTTTCAGGAATAAAACTTTCAATTGTGGAGTGAATTTGCTTTTTGAAGTTGAGCCATAACTCATTTGTATTACCATTATTGAGAATTAGGTTGTTCAACAGGTATGTATTTAGGATTTCATAATTGGCTTTATAGAAATCGCGTTGGAACGAAATAGAAGCTTTCTTGTTGTCTGTATGAAGTATTTGAATTGCTGCAGTTATGACTAAATGGTCACTTTTGCCAATGGGTGGATAGTATTTTATATCACTTATTAGCGTATCGTCATTACATAATATGAGGTCAAGTAAGGATTCTTCGTTGTTGCGTTTCCGAGTATTTTTTGTAACTAATTGGTCTAAGTTGCTACAAGCGTACATATATAAAAAGTATTCAGATCGGTCGGAAGGACTAGCATCGTTCAGCTGCCATATAAACTATATTGGGCATGTTGAAGTCGCCCACAATGACAACTGTATTTTTCAAAGAGGCGTTTCCAATGTTATCGAAAAGGACTTTGTTTGATTCTGACAGAGAATATGACGGAGGCCTGTATACACACACAAGCAGGAATTTTAGTTTTCTAATTTGTACATCCAGCCATAGGGCTTCAACTCGGGAATCATGGTATGAGCTGTTTACTTTAGCAGATATTTTAGTATTGTTCAATTCAATAGCAGTATATATGAGTACACCTCCTCCTTTTCTGTCATTCCTGTCTAATCTGTATAGTACGTAACCGGGAATGTTGATCATGCTATCACTTATTTTGTCATGAAGATGCGTCTCGGTGATCATAATGAAGGCAGGGTTGTGTATTTTCACTTCAATAAGGAACAAATCATATTTAGCCAAAATGGAAGCCAAGTTCGTGTAGAGGATATGGAGTTCGGTTACAGGCGACACAGTTAGTTTTTTATGGAGGGGACTATTTTTGGTACATTGTTTACATATTTTATAGTGAGATCTTGTTCACCCTTTTCAGTTCTCTGAGCCAGTTCCTCACGCAGCTTTTTTAGTTGGTCCCGTTGGTAAGGCGTCAAGTCGGAATATACCTTAATCGATTTAGACAGCTTATTCTTGTTTCTGAGAACGTTTATAGCACTCTGTTTATTTTCAAGGATAACTTTAACCGGGCGTGGTTTAGAATTGATACTAGAATTGGGTTTACCAAGACGAATTATGTTTATTATCTTCGGTTCCGGGATAGGTAAAGAACTAAATGTTTGAGTTACGTTGGTATACGGTACGGTAACGTTATATCTCACAATATCTAAAAAATGAATAATAAAAATTTTGGTATTTACTTACAATTTCTTCGCAGGTATCTCGACTCAAGTTGTACCGGTCACAACTTAACGACAGCCATTGTAAGTCTATCTAGAAGAACAAGAAACGTTCGATGATATTTATTTTTCTTTTTACACGTTTTGAAAAGGAATCGTTTGGAGTCAACTTTATATTTACATATGAATACGAGCCCCCAGCATGGCTTGAAACTAGTCAAGTTAACTCGTGAAATAGTTACGTAAATAATCCGTGAAATAAGATTAATTAAAAGTCAATTTTTCTTTAATACATACAGGAAATATTTTTACTTTTGATGAATAATAACATAGGAATACTCACAGGTGCAGAAGAACCGTCGTCATTCGAAACGATGGTCACGGAAGTAGCATTTGTGAAGTCACCAGTCGTGATTTTTTCAGGCATTAACTGTAAATTTTAATTGAGCTGTGAAAAAGTTCTTAAATGTTGGAACGCCAAGCTTTGACACGAATGGGTCCGCTCACGCGGGGTGAAACCACGCCAGTTTTTTGTGAGGCTAGGGTAAGTTTTGTTCACCTATATCAGTAACAGTCGGCGAAAAAACGCGTTTAAAGACAAAATTTTGGCGAAAAAACACGTTTTCGAGCTGAAATTCCAAATTTCTTCAGGTTATCGACTCGGGATCTTCGCGGAATACGATCGCCCGCGCCGAGACACGTCTTTTGACGTATCGCACGTCCCGATACGGTGAAAAATTTTTGAAAATTTTACCGGCCATAGAAAACTGCCGTATTAGAGGCAAAATCCTTCCCCTTCTCCCCTTCCCTCCATCGTCAATCCTCAAATCTCCAATCCTTAAATCCCTAATAACCCACAAGAGGCTGGCACTGCACTTGTAGTAACTCATTTGGAATTACTAGTGTCCAGAGCAACGCTGATTGCTTTCCATCAGGCAATCCGTCTACTAGTTTATCGACCTAAGCCTTCAAAAAAATCCCCAAATCACGCTAACAACTGGCAAAGAGCTGGCCACTCGGTATTGCGGGTATATACTCGTATGAGCGGGATAGCCGATTGCTTAGCTTAAAACAATATAAAAATGTTTAGTTTGTTTAAAAAAAAACTTAAATTAATAAAACAATTTCAATAAAATTAAAAACTCACGTCAACACAGTCGACGGCCACGTGTACAGTATTGTTGGTAATGGAAGCGTGGATCTTGTGCCAACCTGGAGTGAAAATCTGGAAATATTACAAATTGAGTTTAGCAGTGGAAAAGTCTGGATTACCATTTAAAGTATTTTAACCACAAGATATACCTGGTTGTCAGAGGCAGATGTGCTATATTAGTGCCTCTGACAACCAGAATCAATAACCATAATTTTATCAGTCTATGAGCATATGATTTTCTTCAAAAGTTACTATATTTTTTTCATATTAACATAAATTTCCAACCCACCAGATCCATCTAAAAGCTTTATTTGTACTTCAGGATCGATAGAGTAGATACAACGATAAAAACACCGAAACAGTGAAGTCCGGCTCGTCTCAGGAGCATGAATAACTATCTTGGATCCCGAAACGAATTAAATCAGATGATATTTTTTAATAGACGAGAAGAAAAAGGATATAGTTTCCATTTCGCTTGGTGAATTTAAAAAGACACAAAAATACAAAAAAAATTACAAAATACAAAAATGTTTATTTCTTTACCATAAGTTTAACATAAGTTGGTGATTGGAACCTCCTTTTAAGCAAATTATGCCTGTATTAGGACACTCCGCTCTTCTACATCAGTTTACAATAAATAGAAAACTAGTCTTAAACTTAGTCTTAAACTGCATGCTTGTGTGTGTATGTGTGTGTGTGTGTGTGTGTGTGTGTGTGAAGGTGTGTATGTTAATATATGTGTGTGTATGTAGGTATGTGTATGTATGTGTGTTGTAATAGTGCCTCAGCGTCTGCGTAATTAAGTGTCTTTATCCAATTAGTTACAAAAGACTACATAACCAGGAGAAGACACTTGCACATGAACATAGGCAGAACAGTTGCACAAAAAAGATAAACAAATTGATAACTAATCAGTTTCAAAAGGAAATAATAAAGGCAACTTACATCCCAACTATTGAACATGACCCTGGACCCTCCGATGAAAACGACGATTTTTTTGGTGACCGGCAACATGGTGAGCGCAAACTGCAAGCTGGACTCTGACCGAGCGCGGACCAGACTCCAGGGCCGACGCTGGCCCCGAGCATTGAAGGTACCGACCACGGTAAAATGAGGGGGCAACCCTGCTGGAAATACCTCCCTACAAAATAGAAATGGTTAACTAAAATTTCATAACGGATAGCACGGTTGGTGCGGTGGCTGGACAACTGGTTGCCGCGCATCGTGTCGCAGTTTTAATTCCCGCACGGATCAACTCTTCTTGTAATCTACAAATTGTTGTTCCGGGTCTGAGTGTGGTGTGTGAAATTGTAAGTTGTAAACGCATCAACGACACAGGAGAAAATCTATTTTTATTTTTTAATATAAAGAGAACTCGTTGTTATCCGCAACTTGATTGGCATCGAATAGTGACTTTAGGAAGAACTATTTTTTTATTGCAATTTGCAAAACAAATAAATTTTGGCAAGACTTATTGAACCTAAAATACAAATCTCATTCAAATCCGTCCATTAGTTCTGGAGATTAACGTCTGCAAAGATACGAACAGTTCTTATTGGCTATTACTCTTTCCTTAGCACCCTATCCCTATTTAATTGAATTGAAAAAAAACTTTCGTCATTTCAAACACCCCTAACTTCCTGAGTCCAAGCTAATAATGACAGTTTTATAAAAAAAAATCCATTAACACTTTTTGCAGACATATAGGTAACCCGCAACATCTAGCAGCCAGTTATCTGGTCACCGTACCTACCGTTCCATAATGGGATTTCCACAATATTTCCAAAAGAAGACCTTACGACCATTACTTACTTCAACGGCAGAGTCAGATTCACATCGAGCCCAATTCTGTAGGCCCTTTGAAGGTCCTGAGAGCCTTGAACTAAGGTCACTCCCTTGGTATCACGGCGGTCTAGGCGGTACACGGCTATCAGGTCTACTGTCTGGGAGTCCACGTCTCCTGGCATGTGGGAGGAACATGGTGAGGCTATGTCCGCCTGAGGTCGCTCTGATGTAGTTGTAGCAATCGATGTAGATGGGATCGTGGAAGATGATGTAGATGGGATCGTGGAAGATGATGTAGTTGTGCTTGAGAATATTGCTGGAAAAATTGTCGTACGACACAATCAAAATTATGGGTATGACTTAAAAGATATAATACTGACTAAAATCGTTATTATAAGTATTGTGATACTCGTAGATAATCGTATATTGTCGTATAATGAAAACTATACTAGTAGTGTACTTTTACTACTTCTTTAACTATCACTATTTATATTTTTAGCACATATTTATACATTTAGCTTAATATTTTTGTTTTCATGACGAAAACAATTTTGTTATCCGCACCTTAAGTTAAATTTGATGAATTTAGTCAAAAAGTATTTGATATTGTATTTAATTTCAGAATGCTGATCATTCTGACATCAAGTTAAACTGTTTTAGTTTTATTTCTAGAATATCAATATAATCTTTAGGTCTGTTCTACTTGATGTGACTTCTCACATCAAGTAGAACAGACCTTAAATGTACCATTCCATCAAGTAGAATGACCTTTATGATATGTACATACTTTCTAATATCAACTTGTAACTCACCTGTTTGTCCATTACTGATGGAATATGATGATATCGTGAGGACTAAAATAATGTGCCTGGAACAAACAATTGAATGATGAGTTTGTAAACAACGTAGTTACATAATAGATACGATTCATCATCAGTCTATAACAGTCCCTTATAAATGAGCATTATTGCTCAAGACATATTGAATATATTTCTTCGTTATCCATAAACAGTAATAAAAAGCATTTTCTTTATCTTCCATTTTTTTATTATTAATGACCAGGCATAGTCCCTATGGGACGCGATGATGCAACCTAAGTCACACACACAGTTATACCCTTCAGGAAATAATTTCACTCCTTAGCGGTTCTGATAATAAAACAGAAGACCATGAAGTAACGACGTAAATATAGGCTGATTGTAAAGGCATGTCTAAATCACGCAATCAAAAAAATAATCAAAAAACCGGGTGAGAGTGGTCTAGAAATTGCTAGATAGTCCAAAGCTCCTGACCTATTGACTTCCCAAACCGTTCCCAAAGTAACGATGCATCAAATAAATTGAAATATCAAGAACGTCCTAGTTTGGGACATCGAATCTCGATACCCCATAGGTCAATAAATAATTGAACTGCGTCTATGGCCCACTTGATTTGACCTTCAACAGCCAATGAGTGGTAAGCGGGAGGCAATTTGATGGCTTCTTAACCGTTGATGACGTCAAGGCAACTGGGTCAATGTAACGACATTTATTGTAATCTGATGGATGGATGGACGGTAAATATGCAAACAACATTGAATTTTTTTGGAAAAAAAATTATTGAAAACTAGACCGACCCTCCTCGGGCAAACGAGCAGACGGATTACCTGATGGTAAGTAATCGGCGCCACTCACGGACATTTGCAACAACGGAAGAGTTGTGAGTGCGTTGCGAACCTTTTGGGAAAAGGGTTTTGGGGATTTAATAATTAGGGAGAGATTGGGGGAGGGAAAGGAATCTCACTCACACGGCGAAACACAATGCTATGGTTGCTTCAGGCACTGGTATAACTCCGGACTATTAATGGGCGTTATTAGGCATACATAAACTTTCTTCTTCGCTCATACTCTACATATAAAATACATCAAAATCCGTTGCGCAGTTTTAAAGATACATAAGGCCTACATAAAGAAACAAAGAAAGCGATTTTGTTTTATACTATGTAGTGATGTTTTAAGTATTTTCGACGGCAAATTATACCATCGTCGTTCTAACGCTTGCAAGTGCATCTACCGGACATCCACACACGCACTTTAGTTGAACTTTGCATTTTTTAAATGTGATTCCTACTTTAATCGTAACAATTAACTTGCGGTCCAAACAGATTCTAAAACTAATCGATCAGATGACACATACATTGATGCATATGAACTCGATGAAGCAGTGTCAATCTTTCATTTATTTCACAAAGCAAATTCAGAATTTAGATCTTAATTCAATTGATTAGGAACCTTCCGTAAATTATGCATAGGTTCAATTTTAAATAGCTTGTCTAGCTCCAACGATCCTAAGAATAGGCGATGCGGTATTTCCAACTAAGCATTATCTGTAAAATGCAGTGTCATATAAATGATGGATAAACATAATACAAGCACGTTAGAAGCATGGGATAGTTCGTAAGGGGAATTATAGTTTACACAAACACAACTATAGAAAATAAACCATTTAAATACTTAGGTATCTATTTCCGAGTTACAAGAATCAGTTGTGTAGATAAACAATGTGATTGTGTGAGTGTACGTGTAATAGTAGATATATTATGTTATTGTTGTATGGGATAAGAGGTCCAATATGCTGATTTATCTCCATATGAATTGAATAAAGTGAAGAATGAAGAATTGATGAAGTGCGTGGCTAGTCTTTCAAGGGTTAGGGCATTTTTTTAAAACTTTGCCCTGCTCTATTATTTTTTTCCTGTGTTGTGGGTACGTTTACCAACATACACAAGCCACCCAGACCCGAAACAATTTATGAATCACACAAAGTGTTGTTCCGTGTGGGTCGAGAGAATTGGGAATTCAGTTTTGGGATTGAAGATGTGGAACTATTAGACCTCCGGTGACCTCACTCACAATTCCCACGGCGTCTTTCGCTCACAAAAGCTTTGTTTCACATTGGTCTTCTGCGAGAACTTGGTATCTATCCAGATAGTAAAGTGTTATAAAAGTAATAAATGCTATTCATCTCAGCTAGCCCATCATGGCAAAAATTCCCTAACCACTGCTGCAGCAGGATCGATGGATATGTGTGTTTACATACCACTATTCCTCTCACTTCGCTTTCAAGTTCTGACAAAGGCAGAAGTTCAAATTTTTGCAGTGTTTTTCTGCGGCCCAATTCTTCTCCTACCCCCATCTCTGTCCAATCCCTAAATCCCCTAACCCTTATCCACAAAAATTCGGCAACGCACTTGCAATTTCTCTTCTCTTGGCAAGAACGGTGCCGTGGTATCCACTTAAAAAATCCAAACGAAGACACTTCTATGACCTCTAAAAGACGAATCATGATGACTATTCCCTGGCTTTTTGACCACAAGTCTATCAAACATTAGTCATGATACATTGTACATGATGAAATGCAACCTTCGAGTCAGAGATTAGATTTTGTTACAAAAACAATTGTTGCTAAGAGTTGGGTTAAATAATAATAATTAAAAATACTCTGAGAACGGAGGCCAGAAGGTTTTTTTTATTTTCTTTTCAAGGAGAAAGTCATCTAATGATGTCTCTTGCCCTGGGTAAGACGAGAGAGAATATCAGACAGATCTCTTACTGACTAAAAACATCCCTGTTTTTTCTCACGCTCCAGGGTGGTAACCATGACATACAAAGTAAGACTGTTTTAATCTTACTTCAGTGTGGGTAAGAGACAGGGCTACACAACTTGTATAGCCCTTTCTCTTCTCAGACCGAGGCCACGATACTTCCTCAACTGGCCTAGAGTCTACATAAAAGGAGTAAGTTAAAGGGGATAATCTCCACTGATGACAGGAAGATTGGCGATTGCATTTAAAAAAGGTAAGTTAGGTATCTTAGAGAGCGCTGCTGAACAGTCTCTGTTAAGACTTATGATATTCGCTCCTCAAAAAAGGCCTATAGTGGACTTGGGCTGTTGATGTAATGTGATACCTATGTTAGTACATCGTTCATGTATTTTTACGAGCGCTTGATTCGGCAATGTGATATGATCATTTAATTCATTTGTAACATTGTATCTTTAAATAGAGTATCAGTGACATTCATCTTCGTGTTGCTCCTTGTCTTAAACTTGCAGTTAGTTTGCATTGAATTTATTTTATCGTACAATTGCGCATTCGAGAAAATATTATTTAAAAAAAAAAACACGCTTACCTTCTTCCGAATAAGACCTACATCGTGCGAATAAAACAGGAAAAAACTTATAATTTATTTGTCGCAGCCAAATAGTTAATTTGCCACCCCACCAACGGCTTGAATGTCGAACTAGTCGTTCGGTTAAATGGCTAAATTTCTCATTCAGGCTGTAAGTTGAAGGGTGAAGGGATTGTAATGAAAACCGAGTTGCTACCAGAATGGTAGGTTAGAAATGTGAACTGCATAGAAATCTAATCGCCATCGCAAAAAAACAGCTACTCAAATTGTACTGTGATCAAAGGGCTAGCTGATTTATTAAACGACTATTTTCGCCAGTTGGTTGCGACATAATTATTCTATCAAAATAATCAACTTAAATAATGGCTTCCACAAATTATTAAAACGATAAAATTTAATTTTGTAGATTTTATACCTATACTTCTAAGGAACATAGATAAAAAAGCAGTATTAAGTTGGTGACACGAAATAAAAAATTAAAAAATAAATTTAAAAATGGAACTTACCTAAAAACCGCCATAATACTACACTTAAAATAACGAACTCGTGCACATGCCGTGCACGCGCAATCCCGCGCGATACCACCGCTGCGGCTAATCGAACTCTTACTGACTACTGAAATACTGACTACCAACTACCAGTGAGATTTGACAGCGCACACTGATATATATCAATTAATTTGCTGATGACAGCTACGGAACCACAATTGAGTATTGAATGCATAACTTCTTTGACACAGTGATGATTCAAACTACCTACAAAGTTTAGTATAAGTGGATACCTACTCGTTAAAGGTAATTCAGTCGTAATCGTCATTGCCTGAAAGGGAAAATCCGATCCATATCAAATTAATTGTATAAATCAACGTACTTAGTTAAAGAGAAAGTTTTAAAGAGTTCCCACACATGTTCGACACGAGTGTACCCGCCGGCTCGACCGGAGTGATACCACGGCCTCTCAAAATACCGACGTGAAACAACTTTTGCATCGTGTGTTGACCACCACCTAAGTTTGTAATTAGTTGCCTGTCATGGAATACTAGCATAAAGAAGTGATGTAGGTAGCCACCGTTGACTAACAAACTAACAAACGTTTGACTGGTGGAGAACCCCCCAACCGCGCAACATCGGCTGAACATCAGCCGTATAGGGCCCCGCCGCGTCTGTGGTACCTAGTCTATTAACCACGATGTGGTAAGTTTTGTGCAAAAAAAATTTAATTAAAAAATTTATAATATTGCTATCCCAGTAGGTATCTAAGTAAAATTTTTGTTACATGTAGACAATGCTTAGGTACTTACTCTCACTAGACGTTGATTTTTTAATAAACGTCTAGTGCTAGTACTAGTACTGAAATCTTAACACAACATTTTGCTTTTGTACTTAAGTAATACTTAGGTAGGTACTACATTTTACTTTTGTAAAATCTAGTAGGTATTAAGATTTCAGTGTACTTACCTAGGATATAATAACAAATTTAAAAGCAATATTTCAAAATTAAAACTATAGCTGAGAAGCAAAGCAATAAAAGATTTTGTTTAAAAAAATACACATCAGGTATATTAGTGATTCCCGCGAATTTTAATCGAACGTCACATAAACGTCACATGTGTTTTGTTTTAGCAATATTTCAAAATTAAAACCATGGTCGAGGAA